CGAGGTTGCTCAGCAACTCGTCAACTCTGGAGAGCAGGTTGAGAACCTCGTTCTCATTGATGCCCCATGCCCCGTCGCTCTTGACCCTCTTCCCGCTCGTCTCCACATCTTCTTCGACCAGATAGGCCTCCTCGGTACTGGCAAGCCCGGCGGTACTCCCTCTTGGCTCCTTCCTCACTTCGCGTCTGCTATCCAGAACCTCAAGGACTATGACCCGAAGCCCATGAACCCCAGAATCGCTCCTCCCGTCCTCGCCATCTGGTGCACCGACGGTGTCTGCCCCAACCCTGAAGACCCCCGCCCTCCCCCAGGTGAGGGAGAGGACCCAGCGCCCATGAAGTGGCTGCTCAACAACCGTACCGACTTCTCAGACAACGGTTGGGCCCAGCTTCTCCCCAAGGAGAACTTCCAATATGCTGTCATGGGTGGTAACCACTTCACTATGATGAAGGGTGAACACGTAAGTTACTCTCCATCAACTACTCCATCAAACCAGACTAACATTCATCCAGGGTGTCACACTAGGCAAGCTCATCCAGCAAGGTCTTAAGCTGTAAGCTTTAACTTGCAATCATCCATAGACTTTGTGCATATCGCAAATTGCATGCATCTCCTTTGTTCAAGTGTTGAATATCGAGATGTTGGCGTTGGGCTCTCGGTTACTTGATGGCGTTGGCACTCTACCTTCTTGTGGCTTCATTGTCTTCTTTACGCACACGCTGCACTTTTTTTCTCATGTTCACGCACGTTATGATTTACACTGTACTTAATGCTTGGTTTACCCAAAATGGCAAGGGTTTGTTCACAACATCTGATCTTTCTTGCAACGTGACACTGTCCCCTCTGCCTTTCGTGTTCCTTCAGTCTGGCCTCAGTCGCGTGGCAATACTGCAATGTCGATCTTGTTTTGCTTCCTCAGTATCACCTCCACACTTTGCCGTCTTTGATTTTGAATGGGCGACATGTTGATGGCCCTAGTCACACAGTCAAGACATTGAACCCTAAGAACTCTCTCCGGCTCCACAGTCCGACAACCATAGTTCCACGAAGAGCCTTAAGTCCAGGCTCATGGTCTTTGCATTTGTTGGGATATTCCAAATATCACCCCCACGACCCTATATGTGATCGACTTGTAATAACTCAAGTCACTTGCTCGCATGATAACGCCACCTCCGAGCCAACCTTGTACATGATCGTAGACCGCGCAGGTGTGAATCCCCCCCAGGTCCCATCGACAATGCACATCCATGTCCTGCCACGCCTTTGACAGTTCTCTCCATCTGGACTGAGTGTGTTTTGATCCATTTACCCAGGTGGCTGCAGGTACGACGAACCACCCGACTCACGGATAAAACCGTGCATCTTCGATCCTCAAATCGCACATCTTGATAAACCTACCCGTTTTCCCGTCAACTACATAACCGCTCATGCGAGATAAATTAAGCTTTGTCTAGTACGATCCAGATGGCCCCAGTCCGCAGTGAAGGGTCTCATCCCATGCGCAATGCAACAGCGGTCCGACGGGAACGCCGTTCGGCGGTTGCAAACATGTCTTTGCATCTCCGGAAGATCAGCCATTGCATAGCGGGCGTTACTATCGTACTACTGCAAATGGTTTTGGGACATGAAGAATTTCGGGACAGACGTGCGCATGGTCTGTTTGACTGGTCGGCGGTTCTGGTTAACGAGCCTGGATCCAGAGCCTGAATCGTGGCGCCCTGCATAAATTGAGACGTAATATGGGTTCGCAAAAGATACTGAGCCTGATGGTGCCCATGTTGTTGTTCAGCGTTGTTTCGGCCCGGTACCGTAACGGCAAAGTCGTGAACTGCAGTTCCATACTCTAGAGCACTATAGGGTACCGCATCACACATCTCGGATCGAGAAACTAGCGAAGTGCTACTCTTTCGCGCATCGCCGCGATGTAAGGTGAATGAATTTCGGTAAATGCGTGTTTCGCAGATGGTGACCCACGCATTATTTTCAATGGATGTGGTGCATCCCTCCGTCTTTGCCCCGAGGTTTGTGGTATGGATGTGGTAATTCAAGCTGAGGAGAACATGTGAATTATCGGCATGCTGAACCGTTCTGTGCGACGAATTGGGAACCTTTTAGTGGACCCTTCTTCTGATCACCGTGGCCCGCAAAGAGCCAAGCATCTACTCAGCTGTCTCGATTCACGTGACTGCAACACTGTTATCACAAGTCAGTATATGCAGTCATAAACCTTGGCCTCGCGCGTCGCACAGCGTCCATGGTGCATTTCCGGAAACATGGTATCTGGAGCGAAGTTGCCGGGCGCCTGCCAGTGTTCCAACTTCGCAATCAGGCTGAGCAAGACCCTGGAAATGTTCAAAGTCGTTATCGCGACGCCCCAGGTTTTCGACCGCACCTCAGCGTACGTTATTCACGACGGGGCTGCCTGAGCCCTGCCACTGAGTCAAGCTTCAAGTGGAAAGTTGGCTGTCACATCGCTCCCGCGTTCCTCAACTGGCAAGCGAGCGCCCGCCACGTCATGCCATCATAGTAATGTGCAGGGCGCCTCGCTGACCAGCTACTCAGCCATCTCACTGCAGATGTTCTTTTTCACTGGTACCAACAGTGACGTGGGTACATGAAGTCAAGACACGCCCAGAGAAGGAACGTCGATCAGAGCCAATCCGACCTGCAGCCCCGAGAACCGGTCTGACAGCTGCATCGCCGCATGCGCCGCGGGCTGAATGATGATGATCACCACGATGATCAATATCGAATTCCTTGTTTGATGCAGAGCAGCTTTCCAGAAGCGGACGATCGAAACGTATCTGCCGATCTACAATCACTTCTAGGATGTGACCCTGATGCATGAAGCATAAGTGCCATCCTTGGCCTTAACGAGACAGGACTAGATCTCATGCTGCGAAGACCCGAAGGCTACTAGGCCGTGTGCCCTAAACGGATTTGCGTTGTTCAATCCGTATTCAGGTCGGAACGAAAGAAAGCAAAGGTTACCCAGCGTATGGTGTAGTAGCATTCGTCGACCAATGGGTTCAGATCGGAAGCATGCTTAGAGGATACGGGCGAAAGGTCCAATGCGCTGGCAGAGATGCTTGGTCGGCGAGGACATTCCAGAATGATATGCTCGGAGAATAGTGAGGAGGTCCGAACGCGCATCTGCAAAGCCGTAAGCAGCTATTCCTGAAGCGCACTCAACAGTGGCGGCTGCGGCCGCTGGTCGCAGCCTTGAGCGTAATACAGCCCATGTTTTCTTTACGATGATTAACTTTGTGGCTTGTAACGTTACAACAGCCTTATGGCGTGACGAGGAGTTGACGGGACGGGGAGCGATTGGTTCGGTTTTGCCTGGCTGAGTAGTTCACAGGCATCGATGGTCGCCTCTTACATGATGTTAGCCTTGCAGTAGTTTTCGATAGTCCTCGATGAGACGACCAGGGCTGCAGATTGCCGTCTCCATAGGGCGGAAAGCATGGCCGCCCGTTGCGCTAGGCCTTTTGCTATCCGTGTATGCGATAGAGGCATGGAATACCAGTGGTTGAGGTACGTACTGCATCAGCTCCAGCCACAGATGTGGCAGTTGGCTTGATTATGACCGGACCCGAGGCTGTCGAGCTGCCGTGCTGTATGTACAACGACTTCATTATCGTGGCGGCTAGCTGCGGATTGGGTGATCCGTGCTCTCCCATCGAATCCCAGGAGAATGGAGTCTTTTCGTAATCCTGATGCTGATGATGATGGGATGCTACCCGTGTAGCGTTCAGTAGTGTACCAGGCGTACGGCAGGGGCGTGGCATGCAAGCGATGCTGGGTGGTGAGATCATATATTATTAGCCAGATCGGCCGGTATGTTTGCATAAGCCAGCTAGCCAGGTCGGGCGACGCGCGAGAAGAGAGGAAGGCTGGGGTGGAGCGGAGGTATGTTAGGTCTCCCAGGGGCGGAGGGGCAACCGGCCCGCCAAGAACGCGGGCATAGCGGGGCATTTTCTCCGAGACGCGAAACCTTGAACGCGAGCAACGCGAACGACGCTGACGCATATACATTCGAATCGCAATGGCTGATGTAGCTAAAGGTGGGAGGTGAGTACTGCTGCAATTCACCGAGCTATAGCTAATCCTTTGGCAGTGGTCCCGAGAGTATGCCTCCCAACGTCGTCGATGCGCTCACACATCTCTAACATTCTCCCAGCGAACCCTCGCGGTATACCCGTTGCACCTTTCATAGACCGGGTTCGAATTCCTTCGCCTCTGTAACGTTTGGATCTAACATCAGCAGGTTGAGGACTATGTCACCGACCGCGCAGATGTGGAGAAGACCATCAACAACTTCAAAGAGATGATCTCGTACGCTCTACCCAGCCAGACACCTCCCTATAGATAGCGATACCTAACACGCCATCCCAGAAAGTACCAGTTCATGCAGCAAAATACCCAACGGCGAGCCGCAGGTCTCAAGGACAAGATCCCCGACATCCAAAAGACACTCGAGACAGTCCGCTTCCTAAAGTCGCGAAAAGACGACGCAGAGCCTCTCGAGACCACCTTCGAACTCAACGATACGCTCTACGCCAAATCCGAAGTTCCCCCCACCGACGAGGTCTACCTCTGGCTCGGTGCCAACGTCATGCTCTCATACTCCATACCCGAAGCCGAAGAACTGCTGCAATCGAAACTGTCGACTGCGAAACAGAGCCTGGGCACGTGTGAGGAGGATTTGGAATTTCTACGTGAGCAGATCACAGTACGTATACTCCAAGCGGTTTGGAGGGTGTACAGCTGACAGGATCATAGACACTCGAGGTCGCTTTCGCGCGGGTTTACAACTGGGATGTTGCACAACGCAGGAAAGAGAGGGAGGGAGGCGAATCGACAGAAGAGAGGAAGGGTGCATCGTCGAAAGAGTGAGGCTTGGAGTGACACTTTTTCCTCACTGCACAGAAAGTGAGCTCATGTAGCCGAGCGGCGCATGCGACGAAACATGAAAGCCAGGATCACATGGCAATGACGACAATCAGAATCTTCATGGACAGTTTCAAACTAGATCCGTGCAGGACGTGAAGGCAAGCTCCTTGTTCACCAATTTTATGTACAACTAATAAGGTTTTCAACCACGCGAAAGAGAGGACATCAAGCCCCGACTAACGATCCTATTAACAGCCATCTTTCCTTCTCCGACATGGGAACACACCCAACATTACCCGTGCATTACCGTGTATCTACACATCAGTTTAACTCAAAGAGTAATCTTAACACCACCCGCAGCAGTCTCAGTGCCGTTGCTCAAAGGTGCCATGCCCTTACCAGTCTGCTCCTTGACGTACTCGTTCATCATCTTGGTAATGGCGACCTGGCCACCCCACGTAACAGCGGCGACCATGTTGTCAACCTCCTTCATAGTCATGATGATCATACCCTTAGGTGCCTTGACATCGCCGTATTTGTCTGTGGTAGAGGCTTTGGTTTCCGCGCGACGCTCGGGTTTCGCGGCCAAGGTGCTGTTCGATGCGGAGCCTTCAAGGGCTGGCTTTGCACCTTCGGCTGTCGGCTTCTCGCCCTCAGCAGTTGGCTTAAGTCCGCCTTCGGTCGGGCTAGCGCCGGCAGCGGGGGCTTCGCCGGCAGGTGTCAGGCTAGATGGTGTAGCAGGCTCGGCAGCAGTGGGTGTCTGTCCCTCTGCAGCAGCAGGTTGAGCAGGCGCGGCAGCTTGAGGGGCTTGTGCGGGCTGAGGGGCTTGCGCACTACCCATCATCTGCATCGTGAGGATGTACTCTCCATCAACCTGGCGGACGGGAACAGCAATGCGCATGTTGGCCTGGTCGAGAACGGCATTGGCCTGGATTGGGGTGAAGGTAGGCGCAAGAAGAAGTTGAGCTGCGACAGGGTTGTTGCCGTTCGTAGGTGTGCCCTGCTGGATCTGGCGGGCGACCTCCTGTCTGAACTCGTCACGGCTAAGACCACGCCGCTGGGTAGCGGCGACCCCAGCAGCTCCACCGAGGTTTCCTGTTGCACCTCCGGGGTTCTGGAGAACACCGCGCTGGGCTACGGCGACAGCGACTTGACCCGTAGGGGGGACTCCCATGGCTTGCATCATCTTCTGGATACGGACAGGGTTCACTGCATATTTGTTAGCTTCATATACGACCAAGAAAGAACAATGACTTACGGGGCATCTGAATGACGGTGACTTGCTGGTTCAGATCCGGAGTGACGGCAGCCAGGTTGGTTGTGACCGAGTAACGGTAGTCGTTGACTGGAGCCTGACCCTGAAGAGCAGCAAGCATACCTGAGTCAACACCATCCTTGACATCGACGTTCATGGTCATGGGCTGGGTAGCGCGGGTAGACATTCTGAAGCCATCCTGGAACTCGTTCTCTTGCAGACCGGTACCCTGGATTGCGACGGATGTGCTACCATCACTACCAAAAGGAGTGACCAGAGTGTTAGTTTCGACGGTCTGGCGGCCAACAATCATGTATTCGCCATCCATCTGAGTGCGCTTGACCATGCGAACGGTCATATCAGTGGTGTTGACACTCCTCATAGTCTCCTGAATCATCCAGGACTGACGGTCGGGCGACAGCATAGCCACGTAGGTGTTGTCCGGCTGCACTGCAGCGCCCTGCAAGTTCTGCATGGTCATTGCCATCTCGATCTGACCACCAACCAGATCCGTAGCGCCATTTGTGCTGATGATCATGGACTGGGGCGAGACAGCGACAAAAGACTGACCAGTCGTTCCTGTGACCTGGTTCGCGGGGATGGCGGGTGTTTGCTGATTAACAATTATCTGCTGCTGTTTTTGAGAGAACGTCTCGACTCTTGAGCGGTCGGGGAATTGGAAGGAGTTGAGTTTCATCTGCATCGATTAGTCTGCTGTCACCGATGGTATTCACAGGTACGGATTGCTTACATCGCCATTGAGATTAAGGACTTGGTTGTAGGACACTTGTTGGGTTTGTCCCGTTTGAGCGAACACCTGTGTACAGCTCAAGAAGAGGAGAACAATGGAAGAGACAGTGCCGGACGTCATGTTGGTAGTAAGAAAAGCCACCTGGGCTTGAAAAGTATTAAGTAATAGAAGGGCAAGAGAGATTACTAGAAGAAGAGCGAGAGAATGACGGAGCAACTGACCAGACTTGCTGCAGCAGAAAGGTACTCGAACAGTCAGTTGTGGCACAGCAGCTTATTATGAACTTCGCGTCTCGTACCATGACTTCGGCTTTTGGTCCGGCGTATCCCGATCCGGTCGATTGGGTTTCGTGTCGTGCTCCAAGAATTGATGGCAAGATGTTCCGGAGTGTGGAGTTACATACCCTTCAGGCATTTTCAACCCCTTCGGACTGAGGAGGCCCACACAAAACTTGCTATGGCTTCTTGATACGCCCGTGTTACTTGACGAGACCTGTGTCCTTACAGGTATGGTGTCGGCCAAGAGATTGCTCGACTGACGGTAATGCTTCTTTGCGAACTTGGTTTCAAACGTCAGGCAGAACGTTTAGTTTGCGCATCTGGGACGAATTTGCCGGAAAGCTTAGCCCTAGTGGCTTGCGAGACAAATCGCCTGGCGGTGAGACGGTACTCGGATACTCGGACTAATCTGGACATTTGTATTCATGTAACAATACTGAAAGAAAACAATGCGATGCCCATAATTCGGAGCAAGATTCATGGTATTGAGGGAGCTGTTGGTTCTCAACTCTTTCGCTGCGCTGCCTGCAGCGGCCGGTGCAAGTGCCTCCGTAGTGTTATCGATGCAGCTTCAAATAGTGGGGGCTAGTCGCAAACGACCGTTCGTGAGGCATGAAGAATAATATGAGTAATTACGTCCAAAGTTAATCGCTCGCGCATCGCATCGTCAAACGACGATGTTTGGAGTGGTGTTTCGCGAATGCAGTTTGTCGCACGAAACGATCGCCCTCGGCTGCCTTGGCTCGAACTAGTCTCAGAACGATCAACCTAACGATAACTGGTTAAACGTTTGCAGCAGTTGCCCAATCCGACAGAATTGTTCACATTTCTTACTATAGTAGAAGCTACGAGGGCGAGAATTATTGATAGCCTCGTCCACTGGGTGCCTTTACACTGCCACTCGAGAAAATAGCCTTGTACTTGCCATCCATGGCCTTTGATCTCTGCTTGCTGCTTATGCCTGTCCGGTCCGTGGTGGGTTGCGCTGCCATGAAGCTATCGAACTCATCATCATCTGCATCTGCATCGTCTTCTGCGGGTCTGCTGTCGTCCTCCTCTTCGGCTTCGGCATTCTTCGGTGCAGGTTCCGTTTGAGGTATGCGTTCGGGTGCCTTCTTGTCCTCGTCTTCATCTTCATCGTCCTTTGGTGCAGGGTTGGTGAAGGGCTTCGATGCTAAGACACGGCGCCTTAGCTCAGCCATCTCCTCCTCATCGTCTGAGGATTCCGGAATATTATACGGGTTTCGTGGATCAACCTCGTCTTCTTCCTCTTCATCATCTTCGCCATCCTCATCCTCATCTGACTCGTCAATAATCCGCCGATTCATGTTTCCACCAGCCCACACATCCTCTTCGGCGCCATCCTCTTTCTCCGTGCGGCTCGTGTTGTATTCGCGCTCTATCTTCTCTAGCCAGACTTCCTCAGCCTTCTTGATTTGCTGTTCGTTTTCACACGCCATGTAACGCTTGAGCAGTGCGGCGTTGATATCCAAAAACGCTTGACCATAGGAAAAAGTCGAGAGGATCGACTCGGCCCATTCAGGATGTCCGGTGATATAGTAACATGCCGCCAGAGCTTCGACACAGTTTAGTCGCCAAGGACGACCGTAGTTTGTTGGATTCGCCGCGACGAGGTACGGAAGTAGACGTTCGCATTTGCCGCCTATCCTGCCAAATGGGACTTCATCTATCCTCTTCCAGCTAGCTTCTACGACCGCAGCGCCGTATTGCTCCATCAGATCCTTGTCTTCGCGACTCAGTATCTTCTTCGCCTTCGGACTGACCACTACACCAGCAAACTTTTGTCCTACGTGAAGCTCGCGCATCATGCCCAGACGCATGAGCCTCTTGCCAGAACAGCGTTTTGCATCGCAATGTCCGAGGTCCCAGCATGCGGCTTTGAACTCGGGCTTCGCAGGTCTCGGGTTGGCGCCGTCGTTTTCCTCTTCTTCTGCATCTGATGCGCGGCGGGGGCGGGGAGGCGCGCGTGCTTTCGCCGGGTTTCGAAATTTGTTGTTGCCCTTGAAGTCTTTCTTGTGGCGGACCATGGTGACTTGCTGATACGTGTTGAAATAGAGGTGTTTTGCAGTTTGGGGCTGCGTGAGTTGCAGTGTGGCGGGGCAAGAGTGTGTGGAATAACATTTGAACATCGTAATCGATAAGGCGCGCTAGTGCAATGACGTCGCTTGATCATTTACGCGCGCAAGGTGGATCGTGTCATTTAGGCCATGTAGTGTCGCCGCATGGAACTCATTGTGCAGATCGCGGGAAGTGCTCCATTTGTGCTTTACGAGTTCGTGGCTCTGGCTGCTGTGTCGCGAAAGCTATGAAACACCAAGACTCGAAATCTCTCCCATCTCGTTCTTCTGCTGTCCACCAAGAGAATACGCAGCCTTCCACCTCATCTTGACACTGCTCCCTGACCCTCTTTGCACATTGGTCACTCGGATGTTCTGAGTAATGCCAAACTTTTGGTTCGGTCCAAGATTGACACCAGATTGTGGCTCTAGCTGCAGTTGCGCACCCTAGCAATTATTAACTCATAACCTTGCATTCATAGCTATGATACTTACCTTTGACGCCGCCAACAGAAAGGTCAGACCAGAGATTGAAAGTGGTGTGTTATTCGATACCCGCGATTGAATCAGCAGCGTGGTGTCTGACTCTCTCGAGACGTTGAAGAGGACGCTGATGCTAGTGTTGGTGACGGATATCTCCTTGGAGGTATCAGGTACAGATGAGGCAAAGTCCCACTCATCGTCATCGTTCGCAGCACTGGTTTGCGCCAGATTAGTCGTTGGTGCAGACACCCCGCCACCTAACAGGTCGACAGCACCGGATGCAGGTTGTGGTGGTTTGATGGATTGTTGATATTGGAAAGGTGATCCTTGTCGTGGTGTAGAAGTCAGGGCTGCAAAAGGATCAGGTGTCCTAGCTGGCTGTACTGGGGGAGGAGAAAACGCAGATTGAGAAGGAGGAGGAGACGTGATTTGGGACTGCGTTGGCTTTGGTGCTGCTGTGAAGAGATCGGTGATAGCTTGGTTGGATGCCTTTTGCGATTGTGGCACAGCCATACCGGACATGCCCAAAACTAGTAAGCGTTAGTAGACGGACACTCGTTGTGACGGCACATCACTTACCTGAGCCGTTTGAACCTCCCAAAGATATGCTGCCTGATTGTCCATATGTATCTCCGCTTAAAGACAAGCCCAGCAAATCGTCCTCGAGAGCATTGCCTGCCGCGGCTGGCTGTTGGGAAGTCTGCGACGATCCTGTTGTTTGAGGCGCGGGCTCCGGGTCGCCGAAATCAATCAGGTTCAACGTGTTGTTGGGACCCTGTGATACACCAGCACCACTGCGACCAAGTGTACCTTGAGGAATGTTGTTTGCCGCCTCGATGTCGCCTTTCTTAAAGAGCTTGTATCTCTCAATTGTCCGGTGTATGCTGTCGTTGATCTCGAAGAGCTTCGCTACGGCTTCGTGGTCTTCGGAGTCCTCTTCGCACATCTTCTGGATCTTCGGCTGCGCGCTTTGGAGAGCGTTAGCAAGTTCCTGTCGCATGGTCAGCCAATGTCGCCTGCCTACTACCTCACTTAGCATACCTCAAAGACGTCGCCCTCTTTGATCTGATCGCCCGGCTTGTAGCCCTGTAACATCTCCTCGAGTATCTTTGCCTTTTGCTGTATTCTTCCGACTTCTTCAGCAGCCTTTGCGCGCCAATCCGTCTTGTTCCTGGTATCGTATCCGGCCATGACTTTCATGAGCTTGTTCGCTTCTTGCAGATCCGCGGGTCCACCACGACGAATTAACTCCTGAAGCTTCGCGGATTGTGCCTCTCGCTCTTCTTCGGCCATTTCTTCTGCTGATCGGAGATTCTGCGCTTTGTCAGCCGTGTGCTTCAACCGGCAGGATTGCAGGTACGTACATCGCTGGGGTTTAAGACGGCGGCATCTTCCTTACGCACTTCGGGAAAGATGTAGCCCTTGTAACTCAGCAGTCTGTGCATATCCCTTATGAATCCTAGGTCGTCCTTGTACCGCGATGTCTGACATATCGTTTGCCGCCATTCTTCTATCAGCTCGAGGATCTTGTTCTGCACACGCGTCGAGTGCACAGGCGGACGTTCAGGGAATCGGCGGACGAGCTCATTGAGGAATTCCTTTGTGCTGATCTGAAGGTGGAATGGGTAGCCGCAGTTCTTGACGCAGATGTCTAGGAGCTATCTCATGGTGAGCTATACGGTGTCTGAGGCGGGGCAGCGTGGGCGTACATTGAGCGCGAGGAGTGCCACGTTCTGGTTGCGGTGGTTGACATAGTGTACGATGGTAACAGCTGCTTCCCGGGGCCTGAGACGTAGTTAGCCTGCTGCCGGTAGTGGTAGCGTGGCCTGATCTTACGCGGAGCCTTTCTTGCTGTTGATCAAGTCGGAGATCTCGAGGTTCAGGGCCAGATTAGGCTCGAAGTTTTGCGGATCGCAAGCTTGTACTATTTTTTTGTCAAGTCAGTTCTGCCTTGCACGGGCGTGGTTACGTTGTGCATACGTATATAGCGCTGCAGTGGTGAACTGGGTGCCTCTCCGAATGCGCCGTAACGATCCCGGGCGGCCATGCGCGCAGACGCTGCCTCCATTGCGCCGCCGGAGAATTTGGGTGCTGAGGCTCTAGGCTAGAAGAGGAGAGCGATTCCAAGGTTCGAGAGGGTAGGGACGTGTCCGTCGGGGCTGGTTGTATCTATAACCTATGTTCTTAAGAATTGGTGGGGATTGGGATCGCGGCAGCTGTCCGCCTACTTCGCATGCCTTGGCGCCACCGCAGCTGCTACGTAATGCGCCTCATTTCACATGTTGTTACCTCGAGTCTCTATGTCGACCTATGTACGCACATGCATGGTCAACGGGTTTCACTTTAAAAAATCTTCGTTTGTGGTGTCTATCTGCATCGCCTGCTTTTTCCCACCCTAAATGAGGGCTATTTCGCTACATGCACGTCTTTCGGTTCAAATCATCCAGTAATCCGTGATCAGATACGTCGCGTATCCAGCAATACTTGCCAGTACAGCCTGGGTGCCGTAGAAACCAACAATTCTTCCGGGGCCCTTGGATTCATTGATCATCAAGCCAAGCTCAGCATGACTGACACGGAATGCGAAAAGAGCTCCAAGTGCGTAGTTTATGTAGGACCTGATGAACGAATTAGATGGGTTCGGTGGTCTCAGTCAAGTGAGATTACCTGTTGGCTCCGTTGAGCTCAGCGAGAAGTGCGATACCAAGGACGAGGGGCACGTTCTCAGTGAAGTTTAGCTGCGCGCGTGAGGCAACGTAGAGAGGATCAGTGGTGCCTTTCGACTCGTCCGATTTGTCACCCATGAAGCTGTTGTCAACGTTAGTTAAGCTTTGTTATGAATGAGCAGCTTATCCTACGTTTTCGAGGTGATGCGGTGGTAGACAATGCGATTTTGGAGGAAAAGGTAGTAAGCCGCAAATGGGAAAGCCCATGTAGCAGTCGCAGGAGCGAGGAGCGGCATTGGGACGCCGAGACCAACTTTGGTAGCCATGCTTGATTCAGGGACAGAGAGATAGTTGACCATCGAATTGATCCAGCGAAGGAGAGGACTTTATAAAGTTGTGGGACCACGGGGTGGACTCAGTGGAGCTGGGAGAGCGGATGAGATGCATTCCCGAGATACATGGATCTCGCACTATGTCGTCATTTGGCGGCCTAGCGCACATGTACGAAGCGGCCCGACCAGCAATGTTGGTGCATCGGTGATGCGGTAAACCTCGAGAACATTCGGGAATAGCTATACATGATAAAAGTACATATAGGTGAAGACAGTTGGTTGTTCCGGCAAGGTATGGTATGGTATGGAGACGCTAATGGGAAGTTCTGCATGCCCATAAGCTTTTCTTCCTCAATTTTATATAGTATACCCACTACATTAAGAGCAAGAATTCCAAACTCACTCGATGAGGTGGATGCGCCTGGATATATCTATAGTTCTACGAAGTAAGACATAGCAGGTCTGAGGGATCATCGGTTCTGGATGTCGTTAGCTCCAGTTCTATGCCACGAAGAAGAACGTCCGTACTGGCTTCATGTGCTCAGCATCATTTTCCCTGTTGTCGTCTCGCACTTCCTTCAACATTTTGTCGATGCCTCGCTCGTTCAGAGCTCGCTATTTAACAAGTCAGCTAGGTCCGAAGCCTAGCATCGAGTCGGCAGCGTGACTGACCGAAAGACACTTCTCATACTGCTCAAATATCGGTTTACATTCATCGGTTGTAGCAGTACCACGCAGAAATTCTGCACTTTGTCAGAATTCGTAGGTACTTGGTGCCCAGCTGATACTCGGCCTACTTTCGCTGTACCACTTGAGGAAGCAGTTATCGTAGCGCCTGGCCTGTGTCAGCGGGTTGCAGAAACAACACCAATAATTTGTACGCTCACTCTTTGACTTCGTTACATTCCGGTGCTAAGGAAGCGGACATGTTGGTGAAAATATAGGTGGTGGTTGAGCAATGGCGCTGATCAGCATGACGGAGGCCGAGGGTCTGATGAAGGTCGCGCGGCTATCGATAGGGAAAGCGCGCTAGCGTGGAGATCATTGAAGGTTTCTTTCTCCAAACATTTGCGACACGCGCTCCCTCTCCACACCAACCCTACCTACGACATCCAAGCGAGACGCCACCGTAGACCGCGTCATCGAACACCACCTCGGAGGATGAGCGCACAATAAACTCGCCATGGATTCGTTCAAGACGCTCCAGACAGAAATCGCGGCCGCCCTGAAGGAGACCACCAAGTCTGCCTCTCTTATAGGCGCCGCAGACATCCCCTTTCAACGATCGCTGAACCCAGACGCTGGCACGCAGCTCGACGCCCAAAATGCGCGCCTCCTTCATCTCGCGCAGCGGCTTCTCGAGAATGCTGCTGCGAGCTCGGACGCTGTAGGTCCCAAGCTGCCCGACGTCGAAGCCATAGACGCCAATTGGAGGGGGGTTGTTGATGTCATCGACAGCTTGCTTGAGAAGGCCGACACCAGTCTCGATGAGTACACAGGCGTTGTCAAGCGCTTGAGTCCCGCGACTGAGCAGGTAAGGAGCGCGCATACGGAAAGGGAGGCGCATCATCTAACGCATCCGCAGGTACCTGTGAAACCACGCCCCAACATTGCCGACAAAAAGATCATCGCGAAGCCGCAGCTCAAATTCGAGCATGCGCCTAGCAACAACGAGACTGGCGGCTTCCGCCCGTTGGTCACGTCCAAGCCCCATGCGAAGATCCCGCTAGAAGAATGCTTGCAGACATTCAAGGACAGGCGGGGACGGGAACAGTATGGCATTTTCTTTGCATTTATACCGCAAGCTTACCTTTTACAGATACCCCCACCCATACCAGACCGAGATTGAAACCTACGAGTATCCTTCGACCGTATACGAGTACTCCGAGCCGCAGCAATACCCTCCCTTCGAAACTACCACCGCAACCTTGGTCGATACTCCTGAAGCATTAGCCACGATGCTCTCTGAGCTAAAGACCGCAAAGGAAATCGCCATTGACCTGGAACACCACGACAACCGCTCATACATCGGCATGGTCTCGTTAATGCAGATAAGCACACGCGATAAGGACTGGATAGTCGACACTTTGAAGCCCTGGCGGCGGAAGCTCGAATGCCTGAATGAGGTGTTTGCAGATCCCAGCATCCTGAAGGTTCTACACGGTGCATACATGGACATTGTCTGGCTTCAGCGAGACCTGGGACTATATGTCGTCGGTCTTTTTGACACCTACCATGCTGCTCGAGCCCTTGGTTACCCTGGTGCCAGTCTGGCATATCTACTCGAAAGGCATGTCCAATTTACGGCCCAGAAACAGTACCAGCTCGCAGATTGGCGTGTGAGACCGCTCAGCAAGGAACTCTTCGAATACGCACGCGCAGATACTCACTTCCTCCTATACATATACGACAACATGCGCAACGAGCTAGTCGAGAAGTCTGACTTCTCTAACCCGGAGAAGAACAAGGTTCAAGATGTACTTCAAAAGTCGAAAGAGACGGCCTTGCAACGCTACGAGCACCCTGTATACGATACCGAGATGGGCCTTGGAACTGCTGGTTGGTACAAGCTCGTCTCACGCACGCCTGTGCAATTTACCCCGCCACAATTCTCTGTCTTCCGCGCCGTTCATAGATGGAGAGATGAACTCAGCCGGAAAGAAGACGAAAGCCCGCTCTTCATTATGCCCAACCACGCCGTATTCACAGTAGCTCGTATGATACCTGCGGACAAGGCTGCGCTCTTCAACGCAATCCAACACGTATCACATATCATTCGAGCGCATGCGGATGAGCTCGTAGCTGTCATCGCCAAGGCTAAAGAGGAGGGTGTCAATGGACCGGAGCTGCACAACGTGCTTCAGACGATTGCCGACATGCAGAGGGCGGAAAGGGCCGAGTCAGATGCTGCGATCAAGGTAGCAGAGGTGACTGCAGCCCCAACTGTTGAGGCCTCTGTATCTCAAAGCACTGTAGCTGTTCCAGCTTCCCGAGCTCCATCTTCAGAATTCTGGGGTGAACTTTGGAAATCAAACCAGGTGTCACAACAGCCGGAAGTACCAACCATCGACATCGGCCTTGCTCTACCATTACCACCTCTTACCGCCCAGGTCTTTGCGGATGCAAATGGAACGGCCCAAGCTACACCAAAAGCAGAGAAGCCACAGCACACCTTTGTACCGAAAGAAGAGAGACCAGCCGAGGACCAACGAACCGACACATTTGTTGTCAAGCATCTCGGTGGCCGCAAACGAAAGCGAGGAGACGCAGCAGAAGACCAGTCGAACACTGCCCCGGCCCTCGACCCCATGACCAACGATGAAATCATGCTAGACGCACCTGAAGAGACACCGGAAGCAATCCGCGCACGTGAGAAAGCCGCTAGGAAAGCGGCACGTAAACAAAAGAAGAAGGATGACGCTGCTGCGCATGCCGCAGGTCTCAACTACGGCGACGAGCCTGCCTTTGACTACGCGAACGCGAAATCAGTACTGCATGCCGAAGACGGAGACGGGAAAAAGAAGAAAAGGGACAAGAAAAAGAAGAACACGAGCTTTGCGCCCTTCTCGGGTATGACTGATGCACCAAAGGGATTGCCGAGGGCGCAGAAAGAAGTCGCAGGACGTAGCAAAACGTTCAAGTCATAGACGTGGAAGCCTAGGAAGTCGAAGGATAATGGATTGCTTTGCATCTTTGCGTTCTTGTACATATACCTGCATCATGATACCAACCTAGTTCTCCCGGTGTCATAGGAATTCAAAGAGATCTGCCCTATGGGGCTAATGCATTGCTACTTGACTAATGCTAAGTTGATACTGTAATCGCTATGAATAATCTGCCACTGTCCGTGTTGTTGCCACACAATGTCCTCTATGAATGCGTCCTTCGTCAACTATCCACATCAAGTTCAGCGATAACCTTTGCGTGTTGCTTCCAACTCACGCGCCTATAACGAAACCGCACAAAAGTTGCCGATGATCCCAAGCTATCCTCCTCCATCACTCCTCACACAACCTGCCCATGAAGAACCCGATAGAAAACACCGAAGTTGCCGGTTCCGTCCTTGCCACCATCCGGTCCCCGTATATTGTCCAGAACGGCAAACACAATCTTCTCGAACCACCCTCCTTGAAACTCTGGTTCATGTAGGACCTCAAGAAAGCAATGGGCAACCTCTCCGGGTGGATTGGAATACACACCACAGCCCAACGCGCCTAGCACAAGCTTCGTGTGTCCATGTCGAGCGGCAACGCGCAATATGAGGCGGACGTTGTTCTTGGTGTGAGCCCTTGCGCCGATGTTCTTGAACGTCTTGCCATCGTCTGACAGAGGTGGTTGACGGAGAGCTGCAACGCTGATGACGGAAAGCGCAGGGAGGTCCATGGGATGTATGGAATCAAGCAGTTCATGGCCGTCGGTCATCGAGTTGCGGATGATGACCACGTTAGGTGAGTATATAGCGGCCAGAGCGGGGATTGGGTAGTATTGTTCTCTGTCTAGCGTGAGGTAGAGCGATGATCGGTAGCAGAGACATTCCTCTTGGGCGAGAGCCCCTTTCTGCCAACCGCCGCCGGGGGATCGCTCAGAGGCGAGGTTGAGGACGGCGACTGGACGAACTCGCATGGACTCTTTGGCCTTTCCGGGCTGCTTCTTGACTTCGGGGTCTTGAAGTTTGCCTTGAGCGTCCTCTGATGTGGCGACATCCTTAATTGGAGTATCGATGTCGGACTTGGGAGCGATCGCAGGCTTTTCGTCCTCCGCATCCATGTCCGTTTTCTCCATGCTACAATGCTGACGGACGGTATGGTTGGGCTCAAGCTGTACTGCTGCATCGAACGAGTCCATGTTGAGTACTTGGATGATGCATGGTTTCCTGACGCCCGGGCACCGTTCTTTAGGCAGGGTGGATCCATCTTGATGATACATAGTCTCTAGAGTGGCCCACTCGGCGTCGAACTTGGATGGGACTTTCGATAGGATACTTGGGAGGACCAACTTGGTCTCGTCGGCGACTAATTTGAGACCCATATTGCGTCGGCGGTTAGGTGCCCGGTTGTGGTTAGACATGTTGTGCTTTGGACGATTGGTGTTGTGACGCTGGTAAGGTTCACCGGGACGGGTGTTTTCTGTTCGAGAGGGACCCGGTCGTGATGACCCCGGCTTTTTGAGGAAGCTGAGGATTGAGCTTTGTTCCATGATCTTTGGAAGGTGAAAGATGAGGGCAAGAACCACCTATAGTGTCGTCTAAGTAGGAAGCTGCCGCTTGCCCAATGTACTCGCAGGTGAAAGTCGATAGTGGACGCGTTGGATCATCAGAAGCTCTCACATTGATACCGTGAAGGCAAGAACTATAGACAAACCGAAGCTTAGACAGAGTGAGAGGAAAGTTAACAACGGACAGCGCAAGCAACTGGATCAGGCAGCAGCAGGCACGGGAAGCGTAAACTGGCTAGGCCTATTTTAGAGTGCAAGTCAACATGGGAGATTACGACCACGAAGCGCACAAACGGAGTACAGCGATGGAGGTGCATACAGCCATGGCAATGACAGCAAGAGTCGGTCCGCACATCTGCGTGCATGCAGTGGTGCGGGCCAGGGTGTCTTTCAGCCCTACAGTGGGCCTGTGCGCCCACCCAGGTGCCCCACATTCGCGTAACGGGCGATCATGTGCGATTTGATTGCTGTTACTCTTTCACACAACAACAACACCACCTTTGTAGGCTTCACCAACATCCTTTAGCTGCAGTCCTCGATGTAATTCTGGCACCCTGCTCACCGGCGAAATGCCTACGCAACTGGCGCACCCATCCCCGAAGCGCAAGCGCGATCAACCCCCGCCTGTCCCTCTGCTCAACACGGCCCTCGCCCTGCGTCCCGCATCAGCACCACCGCGAGGCAATCCCGCGCCCTCATCAGGCCCCGATAGCCCACGAAATGCAGTCGCAGATCAGCTACGAGGTATGAACCTCACTGCACTCGCGGCAATACCCATGTCCCCGCTCACACCAACCGACGATGTAATACGCAAGAAGCCAAAGCTCGATGCCATGAGAGTAGACAGTGGAACTGCATCAGATACATATACTATACGCGAGCAATTCAACAGCTATACAAACGGGGAAGACTTGGATACTGTCGCTGTCACGGCTGAGCTGGGCTTCTCTCGGGTGATACCAGAGACCCCTCAGGCGTCGCAACCCCGCTTGTTGCCAGATATCGCTTCTTTTGCCCAACACACCAGCTTCGTCTCATCGCCTATACCTACGACGCTACAGTCGCATACAGCTGCGAAGCAGAAGTCGCGCGCGCAAAACCCCTCTTCTTCGCAACCCCGCCCTCGGGCTAGATCGCCGTCGCCCTCAATGTCGGCTCTCACGTGGCGAGATAGCGAGATCACGGGACACTTGGTCGATCCTTCAACTGACCCAGATGATGACGGTACTGGACTCAACGGGATTGGCTTCAAGCCTACACCAGCATTAGCATATGCAAGGTCGCAGAAGCGGCGACAACAGTTGACTGAGTGGAAACTACGTGAGACTCGCGAGGCGAGAGCAAAACGTAGTGAGAGAAGGCGAAGGGGCGTGCGAGACACACCTTCGAGGGAAGTGACAGTTGAACGCGAAGTCATGCCTGTCAACAAGATCGAGACCACGAAGCGGACGGTCAAGTTTGCTGTATGAACTGTCGAGGAGAAGTAATCGTAATTCCGGAGAAGTGTAATAAGGTGGGTAAGCCCAAACATGGATAATGACCATCTCACGATACTTATGATACGAGCCATGGGCGAGTACACGTTGGATTAGCGGCACGCTTGGAGTACGGCGTAACAGGGAATCCTTTCGGTTTACTATACGATTAGCATCATTCGTCGGGCGTTTTGTTCACTTATAGCGTTAAGAATCTACTCTCGATTTTCTCTTAACGTTTTGCTTAGTGATGAATTGGCCGCAACATGACCATCGGGCACAGCGCGGACTTAAGATTGTGTGCATCTAGCTGAAGCACGTGTCAACGCGAACCCCCGCGCGTCGTCCTACTCTCATCTGTCGCATCTACTGAATAAGACTGAATACACAAATTCGCGATGGATAAAAACATGTGAATAATGCCTTACTCACATCGCCCTATTGCACAAGGACGACGTTCTATTCAGATGCTCATTCGTAGCCGCCGCTGGCTGATCCATGCCGCGTCACCATCATCACCGTTGCCGCGCCCTTCCATGCCAACCTTTGTCCTTCGCACCACCATGACCTGCGACATCACTTGAGCTCAACGCCGCTTCCTCTTTCCTCACACCTTATCCAGAACATACATATAAGCAACACGGCCTTTTTTGAAGGAGTAATCATGATGACGCGATGGTTGCGCCTTGCCTCGGTGCTACCTTCCGCACTTGCTCTCACACCCAATGATCAGGCTCACCACGTAAAGCAGGTAGCAATTATAGGTGGGTTCATATTCCCAGAAGATCTATAACAAATGCTGACTCCAAGAAGGTGCAGGTGCAGGTGGCTCGTCCGCTGCGTACCATCTCGCCCAATATGCCGCCGAAGCAGGCATCCCTACAAACATCACCGTCTTTGAACGCAACGACTACGTCGGCGGCCGTACAACGACTGTGAACCCATGGAACGACCCGACGATATCTGTAGAACTGGGCGGCAGCATCTTCGTACAGAGCAATCGAATAATGGTGAAAGCCAAGGAGGAATTCAATCTATCTGCTGCTGGGCGAGATCTCGCAGCGCAAATGGAGATGCCTGATTTGGGCATCTGGAATGGACGAGAATTCGTTGTAGTGACGAAAGCAGGTGATACTTGGTGGGACAAGGCGAAGCTGCTGTGGAGATATGGCGCTGCGCCGCTTTGGACCAACAGGCTGATGAAGAGTGCCGTGGGCAAATTCTTTGAGATGTATGATGAGCCGGTGTTCCCGTGGAAGAGCTTGAGTGCCGCTGTCGAGAGAGTGGGCTTGCTGGAAGCCACTGGAGTGACAGGGGAGCAGTACCTTAAGACAAATGGTATTGGGGAGGCGTTCTCCAAAGAGATAATTCAGGCCAGCACCCGGGTCAACTACGCCTCGAACTTGCCTTATATCCACGGCTTGGAGACAATGGTTTGCATGGCAACAAATGGAGCAATGCAGATTGAGGGAGGCAACTGGCAGATCTTTGCGCAAATGCTGAAGGCCTCTCGCGCCAATCTTCACCTCAACACTTCTGTCGCTCAGATCTCGAAGCAACAGGACGGCAGCTACGAAGTTACCACAAGTACCGGTCACACATCGGTCTTCGACGATGTTATCCTCGCATCCCCTCTTCAGTATTCGGATCTTGTTATCCATCCTGCGCCACAGCACATTCCCGATGAGATCCCCTATGCGAAACTGTACACTACCCTATTTGCGTCGCCCTTCAGACTAGACCAAGAAGCTTTCAACCTCGGGCCTGAGACGCCTGTACCGCAATACGTCCTTACCACACTACCCCCGTCTGAGGTCCCGGTGGATGGTGTCGGGTCGCCCAATTTCTTCAGCATATCTATATCCGATGCTGGTATCAATCCAGAGTCTTCCCCGCTTCGATTGGAATACATCTACAAGATCTTCTCACCCGCCCGTGTGAACGCCACCTTCCTCTCGCGCGTTCTTGGCCAAGATGTCTCAAACGAGGAAGCCGAACACGGTGACGTAAATGGCACGGTGAGCTGGATACACCACAAACTGTGGTACTCATACCCACGCGAATACCCACGCGTGACATTTGAGGAGATCAAGCTGGACGACGGACTGTGGTATACCAGCGGAATCGAGAGCTTCATCAGTACCATGGAGACGAGTGCATTGAGTGGGAAAAACATTGCTAGACTGATCAGGGATGAGTGGGTTTCCCAGGGCGTTGATGACAGTTATGTAAACGCTCGGAAAGATGGCACCGACGAAGCGCTGTATCAACAAGAGCTATGAGGATTGCGTGTTCTGGATACTATCGCAAGCCACGTAGTTTGAACTTTAAAAGACTTGCATGAACACCGCTACGCAAGACTGCCACCATGACTGATTCAGCAGTCACTTCGGCGAGGTGGCAGCACAGACGCTACGATTCAGGCCTATTATAATCAGCCCGGTACTCGGAAGAGCGGCGTTTGTCGCTTGCCCTGGATCTGGTTAAGCTACTCTTCAGTCTAGTCATGTTCGACATTTTTTTGGCGCTTCCTTTGACACTGATTCGAAATGTTCCAGTTGGATTGGTCCAGTCGGCTTGAGTACCGCTTTCGCAGATTTTGGAACGCTAACAGATCGGAGATCTGCCATCACAGCCACGTGAGATTGGCGAGGGTCCATCGTTCTTGTTTAATTCGAGGTTGAGTACTGGCCTTGCGATGTTCTTGTCTGAGATTCCTTCCTTTGGTGTGCACGAATAGTGAGATTGTATTGCCGTCTATCAAGTTGATCATCATGGTATTCGTCAATGCCTACTCTTCCATTCTTCTATTTTTCCACACTCATCAACTCACTGAGCTAGCAGCAAGGCATGCCACCGAATTTGTCTCTCGCGTTCGGATGCAAATGAGTGAACGAAGCTAAGACTCCAGCCGCAGAACTGGTTGTCTGGCCTGTGTGTGGCGTTACAATGAGGCCTTCCGTGCTACCCCAACGAAGCCAACGGCGATCATCCGGACATGGTTCCGCCTCAGGGATTAAACTTCCGAACACAGCACTAACCGTTGAACAGACGAGATCCCTCTCACCCTAACAGAAGGAAAGGCCTGGATAGCCAAGACTGTCAGTACAAGGTTCGATGGCGCACTTCTCAGCCTTGACGTGCTTGCGTGCGGGCACTCCGTTAAAGGGTCAGTTGCACATGGAATTTTCTACTTCTCCCTGTTGTACCCTGGCTTGGGTTAGGGAAATGGGTCGTGTGCTTCCATTCTTGTTTCGCTATCCGTGATATCCTACTTGCTTTCTTTCGCCATAGCCCTTTGCTTCCGCTTGCAACATATTGGTCTTTTGCGAGGCTGAAGATACAGTAGAATACCGGGACCATGGCAGTTCAGAACTATGTACCTGCGCAGGTGCCGCGGGCGGGAGACATAATCAGTATCATGCTGCAGATCAGCACGTTTGGTGTACTTGCTGTTTGCATAAGTAAGTATTTGACTATCGATACTACTACAAGGAATGGCAATACTAATAACATGCAACAGTGAGACGAACTCAGTTTATCCAAAAATGGATGGCACTGCCTTTGGCTATGTGGTGTATGTGCGATACAACACACGCCTTTTGGGCATCTTGACCATGCGCATGATCCTAACAGCATGATTTAGTAATTGTCATCATATACTGCGATTCAGCATTTTTCGTTTTTGCCACGGCAATTGTGGTGCATGGACTTGGCATCAACTCCTCACCGCAGGTCTGTGAAGGCGGCATATTGTTGTGTAAGTTTATGATGCCAGAATGCGTCGACCAGAGACTGACTATCATACAGGTCTGATAGGCTACATGACGACAAAGATTCTGATATATTACTTCCTCGTTGAGAAAGCCGTGAGTATAAACACCGCTATTTCCTAGACGAGTAGTCATTGACGTGATCTAGTATGTCGTCAGGGGAAGTAAGAAGCCTCGCATGAAGACGAAGCTGTGGCTCTTCAATTGCCTTTTTATGCTACGTATGTCACGACCAACAGCTTGCAGGAATCTATGTTGATACGAACGCAGTACCTTACACCATCTTTGTCGTCATGAATTTCATCTTGTAAGTCGCACCTGCCTTCATCATTGCCGCATCCATTACATCAAGAAGGAAAAAAGCTGACGTATTGTAGCCGCATAACCTACATCGATGACTCCGGTGTATGCATCATTGGCATGCAAAAGATTGCCATGCTACCATTGATCACCTTCGAAGTTATTGTCAACGTACGCATTCCTTTCCTGCTGTGGCTCCTTTCGATGAACCTGACTAACGCAACTCTAGGTCTACTTGACCGCTCTCTTCATCATCCCTCTCCGTGGTCTCTATTCCTACCAACACAACGCAAATCCCACGCTCCACCGAATGGCCAAGCGCTCACTCATTGGCTCCCTCGCCACCCTCACCACCTCCGTTGTCAACTTAACAATTCTCATGGTACTAAAAGGCGAGCCAGGCTGGATATGCCTGATGTGCTGCAACGCCGACATCTTGTTTTGCGTGTTAGTCCTACACTGGGTGACATCGAAAGACAAGACCACAGTGACTACAAACCCGCAGAGCGGCATGGGTGGCGACACACTCGGCTCAAGAAGCGGCACAAGATCGCACCAAAAGCGGCACAGCAAGCTAGCATACGGAGACAACACAGAAGAAAAGCTGCGCAGCGAAATCATCACCATCAAGGGCATATCCGACGAGTCGCCGACCAGCAACAACATCAGCATCAGCAGCAGTACCACCAACAGCGACAGAAATTCCCGAAGACCCAGCCTCAACGTTTTCCCTTGCTCTACCAACACACACAATCCACACCATTATAACCGCCCGCAGACGTCGCCCCGGTTAGTGCTCTCGAGCGTTACAACAGAATGCAAGTCTTCGTCTCCGCCTAGCAGATTCCGCGCTCCGAGTCGTGGCATGTATCGCACACCCACGCGGGAGGAGTTTGGAGATGAGGTCGAGTTGAATAATATCAGGGTTCAGACTATCCATACAAGGGAAGTGGAGATTGATGAGGAGGGGAGGGAGCGGACGGAGAGTGTGAGAAGTGAAGGGGAAGAGTGGGTTGGTCATGAGCGGAGGGTCATTGGGGACGGTGTTGTTTGATCCTGAGACATGTATCGTGATTGGCAAGTTTACCGGGACGCTCTGGATACTATGGCCGTTGGCTGTTTTATGTGTGTGTGTTTTATACCTCTTGTTTGGCTTCTTCGGGCGGGAACTGGAATGGTACGTGTAGATAGTCCCACTTAATGTACTCGGAATGACATTGAGCTCTTACGATTAAGACACTATATATAGTGTTGTATGAGGCTGGTAGTGCAAATACCCGAGAATTGTATTGCTAGCTAGTGAAACAGAAATGAGAAGATAAAAACAATCAACACCAGAGCTCGAAAGACGTTCATCAAAATACACGCCTTCATCATCGTCTACCATTCATGAGGATCTTGAAGATGCCCTCTCTTTGTGTTTGTGTCTGTGGGAGACGCTGCCTGGGCGTTTGCTGTGTGAATTGATATGTTCTCGTCGTCTGACAGATTGATGGGGTTCGTCGCTTTGCCCAACTGTGACTCATTCACATGAGAGCCTTTCTGTATTCTTTTGCCATGGATGATGTTATGGGGGTTCTTGGGGTCGCCGATGATGATTTTAGACAAATCTGGAGGATGATTCATGGGTACCCAGCCCTTCATCTGCCAATTGCTTCCTGGTTTCGAGGCCGCCCTGCCCGTTATTGTAGGCTTTGTGACCTTGCGCTGGGTGTCATTGTGAGGCGTAGCAACGGTTATCTTGCTGTAGCTAGGTTTTGCCATGATGTGCGGCATTCAGTAGGGTTGATCACTGAGATATGAACTTCAAATGAGAGAGTCAAGAAAGATGGTTTTGTGCGTAAGTCATTGTTCGCTGGTGGATGGATTTTGAAGATACTTGACTGTATGAGTCGAGCCTGGAGTGTGGAGCAGTACATGGGCGCATCTTGGCTTTGCCATGAGTCTTCCCGTTGTGCGACACCAACACGATTCACGAGACATTCTGACTGTTTAATAGCGAAACAGGAACAATAGCATGACTGCGATAGTCTGCGTCTGTCGTTGAACCTCCCTATGAAGCTTCGTCCATATCTACAGCGTGCTGCATGATATCGCCATGTTATGTGGCATCCGTCACCTTCTGCATAGACTCTCTATTTCTTCGCGGCTGGTTTCGCAGGCGTCGATGCAGGCGCTTTCGCAGGTGGTGTCTTGGTGGCATCGGTTGGTTTTCCTGGCGGCTTGCCCTGGCTGCTGATAAGATCTAGAAGATGGTCTTCGGCCTGCTTGCCCTGTCCAAGAGTAAGCAAAAATATTCGTAGTACACTCTCTCAATCTCCTTCTCTCAGACGCACCTTCTCGGCATCAGTATCAGCATCCCATCCTCGCCCAAACTTTGTCCTGAAAGCAGCTAATCTGCCAGCCTCATCCTCCTCGACATTCAGTAGTTTCTGTGAACTCGGATTCCATAGCGGCGAGTTCCGTATGTCCTTTGCGCTCTGGTATACAGGCTGTGGGTTCGTGGTCCGTAGGGTGAAGGAGCTGCCGTCGGAGAGGGTTATGAGTTGCGTGAAGGTGTAGGGTCGCTTTGGTCGGCGGAGAAGCGTCGCGTGTCGCACTTGGTTCGTTTGCCGTACTTGAGGCTGTATCGATTGTCGGAGAACGCGCAGTGCGCTCATTGAGGGGATTGGAGACGCCATAGTCACTTGTGCTGGGGTCGTGTGTTGGAGTTCGAGAGGAAAGTTGCGGCGAAGAGGCGGAGGTCAGCCTTGGCCGATCTAACATTTCCATCTTCGACCCGCGCACTTCGTCATTCGCACCGAATTGCTTTTCAACAGTCGCGTCTTGTCGAAACATTACGCGCTCCTCCCCCTCGGCGCATGTGGTCAAGTCGGAAGATCTTACTCTGAACATGGCGCTCTCGCAGCGCCCGGCTTCGCGCTTTTTCGCAGCCTTCTACAGATGGAATCAACATACCCGTTAGTACCTTAGTGTGCAGTGGTACATATATACTAAATATCTTGTTAGAACGGCCAAGATCATGCGCTATTGCCTCTCAATACCCTCGTCGCGATACACATCCCCGCAACGGCATCTGTACCCCACGCTACTATAATACGACCCGTCTGCTGCAACAACAAAGTCACTCCCCGTCGCAATCGCATGACGAAGAAGCAATAGGAACTGGCGAGGAGAATCCAAATATATCAGGAAGGGGAGGGGCACGGATATTCCGACCGGCAGCAAGTATATCAGAGGAGATAGCAAACACGCAGGAACCCGTGGAAGAGCAGGATGCCTCCTTTGAGCTCTCTGAGGCGGAGCTGGGGGAAGAGCAACTCAAGAATTCGGTGCGCAGAGTGATGCGTAACGTTCCGAGTTCGGTCGCAGTCCTCACGGTCGAGAGCATCGACCCTGATACTCAGGAACACGTTCCCATGGGCGTCGCCGTTTCTTCACTTAGTACGGTTACCCTCGATCCGCCTACGATTTCCTTCAACATCAAACAACCGTCCCAGACCCTGGATGCTATTCGGGCATCCAATGGCCTTTTTCGCGTTCATTACCCCTCCGCTGACAGAGGCGGTGCGAAAGTGGTCGATCTATTTTGTCGAGGGAACCATCCGGATGCCTACAGCCTGCGATCAAAGGAGCTTAGACTCTATCAGCCTAAGCTCGATAAGCCCAGACATCATTATGATCCTAGTAATATGCCTTCTCTTGCGCCGCAGGTATTGGGAGAACAGGTGTTGGCTGCGATGGAATGCAAGGTCACCCATGAATTTCCCATCGCAGATCATGTCATCCTTGTCGCCAGAATCAACAGCATAGAGCAAAGAGCTTCCAAGGATTCAACCATCATGTATATCAATGGTGGATACCGTAAACCTGCGGGCGAAAAACTCTACACTCCTACAAGATCCACACAATCCGCAGCTGGTGAAAGTGTTTTCTCAGTATGGGACTATCAATTATTTCCCGGAGAGAGAGAAAGACAGGACTACATGGGGAAAATCAAGACCCTCATCAAAGACACCCCTGCCTATTACGAAAAGCCATCTGGCGAGACCTATAGGAACATCGAATCGAGTTTACCGTATGCTACTGGAAATTTCGGAATTGATCTAGAGGTTCTTGTCGCAGAGTGCCGAAAAGAAATGGGCCTCCCTGCGCGATTGCGTGCCGAAGCGGAAGGCCGACAAGTCTTGAGTGACTTCTACGGGCCGTTAACACCGGCAATGAGGACACAGATTGTTGATCGAGCGAAAAGGCTCGTCGCGTTGGATGCGCGCTTTCTGTCTCAACATTACCGCACTCTCCTGTACAGCCTGGGCGTGAACCCTAGTAGCAAAGATCTCCTACCAAGCGACATCATGGAGCCTCTGCGAGCAGCAAACCTAGCACCGCCTTTCGATCCCCGCCGAGGACTTGTAAACAGCGGTACCGAAAACATCATAAAAGTTGAACAGCTTGAGTTTCACCTGCGAGGTTACCTTCGGAAAATGAAATACGAGGCTGCGTTGAAAACTCCCCTAGACGCAGCCATGGAAGCCATCGGCGAACGCAAATTAGCGGCTGTACATTTCAAAAAAGCACGGGCGCGATTACTTACCCAGACTCATCCTAAACTGTTCGATGCTTCAGCCATGGACGTCGCTGGCGAGGTGACTCAAGAAGAAGCTCGTGTAGTTCTGTGCCGCTTTATCAATGCCCTGCAAGTTGATTCTGAGGTGGGACTTCGAAAGCACATCTTCCAAGACTGGCGTGAGCTGTTGCGTCGAGTCGGCGTAAACCCTACCATCACAGGAATGGATGTGGACTTTCTGATGGGCAAGATCCAGCATTTGTACTATTCTAACAAATCGTTCCGTGGTTTTGTTGGCGCTGTTGAAGAGATGTTGCGACCTTGGTTTGTTCGGAAAGTTAGCTGGGAAGACCTTGAGGAGCGCATCAGAAGATTTGTTCAGGAAACCCCACTGCGCGCTACAGGATGGTCGGGCAAAGACAGACTTGCCGCTATGGGCCTGCATTGGGATGCCACAGTTGCGCTACCAAGCAACAACCCTTCTAAGCAGGTGGGTGAGAAACCGTTGAACCGAGGCGTTATTCTAGACACGCTCGTAGCAAAGGAGCTGAAGGGTTACTACGGCAATGGCACCGAGGAAGAGAACCAAGCTATCGCCAGGTACTTGAAAGAGACGTACAGCTTTGACATCACACACAGACCGATACAGTACGAACCCGCAGCGCCTACATATCAATCCTCGAGTGATGAGATGCAACAAGCTATGAACGCAGCCCAGGCTACTGCTCAAGAAGAGGCACAGTTTGAGCAGATCTTCTATACACCAGACGGCGCAAGTCCTTCTTGCAGGGAAGGCGGGTCGCCAAAAGTTCGGCAGATAAAAGCAGACCGGTCGTTGAAGATCACACGACCTGATTCAGAACCCCGTAACAAGCTTGAAAGTAAACGCAAGCAGGGTAAGGGTGGCCAAGGATCGGCCGAGGGACGTTGGGGCACTCACTCTTTTATCGAAGGAAGGAATGAGTAGTATGCTATTGTATGTGCGGTATGTACATCATGCCCAATGTACGTAATATGAATGAGGAGACTACATGATTTGGGCGGAAACTTATTCTATTGCTTCTGCAGTGCAAGTTTGTGATGTTGATAGTGAGGGTGAATTTCTACACACGTGACCTCGGTGACGGATTAACCTTGGTCCGTGTAGCCTGAAGCTCGATCGCAATTTCCTAGTCGCAGCTTCCCCGCGAGCATCTTCGCGCCGCAGCAGCTATACCCTATCCAATCGCCGATAGCATAATACCCATACAACTACTCCGAGCTATACTACTGCCCAGGTCGAAAAGCAGCAATCATGAAGCTCGTCAGGTAGGTTAGCCCTCGACTTTTGCGAGACTTGCAACTAACGGCTTCGCGCAGGTTTCTTATGAAGTGCCAGAATGAGACGGTCACAGTCGAGCTCAAGAATGGTCAGTAAAGCTCATATTCCTTTCTATGTTCTGTTCTCAGCGCGTTGTTGTCTGGCGACAGCAGCTCTGTTGCGAGCGCGTCTTCTCCAGGGTTGCGCAAGCTCGCTTTTACATGGAAACATTCCTCCAGCTACTTCTTGGACGCACGATCTAACCTCACCATAGGCACTATCGTAAACGGCACAATCACCTCCGTCTCACCGCTCATGAACGTCGCGCTCCGAGCCGTCAAGTACACGCCCAAGTCTCGCGACACCGTAGCCCTCGACACAATGACCGTCCGCGGTTCCACAATCCGTTACATCATCCTCCCTGATTCATTACCGCTCGACACACTTCTCATCGACGACGCGCCCAAGCCCAAGAACAAGGCAAGGAAAGAGGTCGGTGGTGGTGACCGCGGTGGAAGGGGCGGTGGCCGCGGAGGAGGCCGTGGACGTGGTGGAGGTGGTCGCGGAAGAGGCGGCGGTGGCAGGGGACGTGGACGGGGTTTCTAGGTGCAGAATAAGACGAAAGAGATTGAAGGCCAAAAAGATCACCCGCAGATGCGCATCACGGCGTCACAAAACGGCTGGGGATTGCGCTATGAAATTTGGAAGATTGAGATTATGGGTTACTGCACACAAGACACCAAAGTTTGACGCGCAGTAGGATCACTGTTGGATTAGCTGCACGTGCAGGAACAGTCCAACATGCGTGGCGTCCAAACACAAGGATTGGTGCAAAAGTCGCGCCTCGAGAGAAGAATGATACCACATTGAATCGCAACACTTTACGGTCTTCTGCGAATCTCCGATTTTCTTTGCTATACAAGCGTTCGCAGGCTACTTACAAAGCTAGATAAGAATCGCCTGCGATAATCGACTACTCTGCGTCATACGGTGCAACGGGTGCCGTATCGTTGACCTGAATCCCACCCCTCTTCTTCTCCTTACTATCGTGGAAGGGCAACTTCCATCCACCCTCTCCCTCCGGCGTACTCAACCACAACCTCATCAAGTGCCTCCTTGGCGCTGGTGGCGCGTAGTCTTTGTACGCTGTTCTGGCGTGGAATATATGGTTGTTGGACAGGAACTGGATATCGCCCACGTCCAGGATCATGTGCAGCGCATGCTTTTGGCAAGTCTCCTCGAGAATGGTAATGGCGCGTTCTTGGGCGTCGGAAAGAGCGGGGATAAGACCTGCGTCCGAGAAGCGGGTCAAGGAACGGACAAAGTAAGGGTCGAATCTGTTGACGCTTCTGTCAGTCTGCAGTTCTGCGGACTCTATGGTTCTTTAGGGTATTGCTTACTTGCTATAGACCCTTGGGTTCTCTCCCGTCTCCAGGTAGAACACGGCGGTTTTGATCCATTCCTTTTGTCCCGTGCTTGTCTCGCCTTTGCGGTCAAAGTACCAGATGGGTTGGGTAAGCAGTTCAGCGACGTCAGGATGGTGTTTTTGGAGATCATTCCATACTTGATGGCTACTGACCTGTACACGCGACAAGTCAGTAAAACCGCATACCTTTGAAGAGATATTGCAAAAAAGGGAAATCGCATCAAACTCACGAGATCAGACTCCCCACCCTCCAACGCCTTAGCCACACACAACAACCCTACCAGATCCGCGTCATCGGCATGGAAGAACTGCCTCGCATTCGTCCGATAAATCCGCACTTTATCGATTGCCGTAGCATCTTCACCCAGATCCTTCACGTGTCCGAGCACATGTCCCCGACTATTCTGGCTCACAAAGTAACCCAGATACGTTCCCAGACCCATATACGCAACAGCAGATTTCTGGTTTCCCCACTGCTCAACGGGCATACCTTTGAAGAGAATGAATCCCTTGCCATCGACCAATTCTTTCCGCAACGGCTCAAGGAATTTGGAGAAGTTGGGTAGTGGGAAGAGATCTTTTGTAATGCCTGTCAAGGGTGTTCCAGAGGCGATGAAGGCATCGGCTGCTTCGCTCATCTCGCGCACTTCGTCGGCTGAGAAGATGTGTGTCCAGCGTTCGGGGTTGGATGCGTAGTCTGTTTTGCTCCATGCTGTCGGGCCAGCGATTTCTTTGGGGAAGGCGGAGTATGGTTGTAAGAAGGAGTAGATGGGCTCGTGTTGGCCCGAGGTACGTATTCCATCTGGGAAGATGGACTTTGGTGCTTTCTTTGTGGTTGTAGTGGTTGGATCGGAAAGGGTGTGTGGCGCACCAGGTGCGGGAGAGGTGAGTGCTGGCGCCATTCTGGTGAAGTCTCCCTCGAACCAATTGGACAGCAGGAGCTTGGTCTTCAAAGGGACAAAAGCGACGATGAGGAGCTGTGTATGTGTTTCTCTCGAATTCCTCGAATTCCTCGAATGGATGTGGTCAAGAGCGTTACACAAAAGCCGTTGCAACCACGTAAAAGAAAGATTGATTTGTCTATATATACTTTCATTTTCATCGATCCCTGCCTTCCTTAGCCTCGTCTCCCCCTCATCCCCTCATTCTGATGTTATCGCATCATATCTGAATCCATGTTGTTGTTTGCGATATTTAGCCCCGAATGGCGTGCTCGCACGGCATTCTAGGACCAAGTTGACGCAAGCCCCGCTCCTACCTCCCATGTCTACAACGTAATCCTTTCTTGGCCTTTTGCGTCCGGATCGCTGCTCATCACTGTTGATCAGGAAATGGCAGTGAGCAAGGGTCGTTGTTTTATGAGCTGATAAGATTGTTACAAGGATTGGTTGATGTATGTACGTCGGGATAAACAAGACGCGAAGTGGGCGAATGGACGACGTTCACCCCACTTAGTCGCTGCAAACGCCTCTAAATGCTACAGGGCAGGAAAAGCCCGGGAAATCGATATCAAAACCCATGCGGAGTAAGACCGAGGACGCCGCGCGCCCCGATTCCGCACACATGCCCAAGACCAGAACGCCGTACCGATCGATCGCCATCATACCGCAAAAGTACTTGCCCTTTAGAAACTCTCCAGGCATTCCTCGACAACGGCCTCCAGCATACCCAATGTATAGAATCTTGCAACATTGCCATACACATTCATTTTCCTCTTGATCTCCTGTTTGTTTTTCGTAGCTACCCATTCGCCTGCGCAAGCACAGTGTTCCATAAAGTCATTGCTGCGTAGCCTCTTGCACTTGCCGCACTTCAGATCTTGCGTACACCACTCGAGTACCATCTTCTGCACTTCACCGACGAGTTGCTCTTCGATGCGTCGCTTGTCGTAGGTTGACTCGCAGTTGTCGCATTTCCATTTGGGAAGGACGGGAGCGGCATCGCTGTCGGGAAGAATGACCGGGAGGAGAGAAGAGTCTCGGCAGAGGTCCAGGTCGCGCGAAGATGTACAATCATCACAGATAACGCCTCGAACGACGAGGGCGGCACTGGGGTTGGTGAAGCTGGCTTCCGCGCTGAACTCTCGAATGTCGAAGAGGTTCAGCAACTCCTTTCGCAGCGCACGCGCTTCGAGCGAGATGGCACGATCCAGGCTCAACACTTGCATGATGCTCTTGACTAGTTGCAAGACCGGATTCGTGAGCTTGAGATGCGAGCCCGGAAGTTCGGGGAAGACGTAGTCGGATGCGAAGAGTGGGTCCAAGACCTCTGCGTGTTGCTTCTTGGCGAAAACATTCATCTGCTTCGACAGAGGTCTAGTGAACTGCTTAGGTAGAATCTGCGTTTGCTCGTTGGGATCGACAGTCAGTGGTCGGAGCGGGATCTGTGTAACCCTGGGTGTCGAGCCATCCTCCATGATACCAGGGCGTTTCCGGGCGTGCATGAGTTCGATGAACTCAACGACCCAATCGTTGAAGGTAGGCTGGAACTTTGGCGGCAAGAATTGCGCAAGCTGCCAACACATGATGTTTTCAACTGGCTGTGTCTCATCATCGGTGACTTCGTTGCATCCTTTGCCTCCGTAGTTAAACTCGTCATACCAGACCAAGTAGTCCCAGTATTCTTTGATCTCAAGCTCCATGAATTGGAAGAGCGGTTTCGACTTGATGGTCTTGATGATGTATTGACTGTATGCATAAGCGTTGCCCACTTCAGCTTTGGTCGTCTGGAGAAGCAGGCGGTTCGGGCTAGCAAATACGATGTGCGAACCGACACGCTTGAAATCCGTCATGAGTTGCTGTAGCGTCTTCTTCGACATCATCTGAACATAGTAGTGCAGTGCACGGTCGTAGAGGAACGATCCCGGACTACTGACCCAGCGGACGAGATGTTGGACCATGACATCGGCCATACTAAAGCCGTGTCCAGCTTGAACAGCTTCCACCCACCATGCCTTCACCATCTCTCGGAGGACGGTGATACCGGCGCCTGCAAAAGCGTTGTCTGAAACAATGACGTGGGAGCCATCGTTCGTAGAATCGTAAGACGGGTTAAACGAAACAGAGTCTGCACCCTCAAGTTCGTTGACCAGAGACGACGACAGGATGGTGTTGATAGCAAGATTACGAAGGTTGATATCGATGCACACTGACGAGTATGTGCCTGGGTTGTTTACTGATGGCATGTCCACCGTCTCCAGGGGCCCAAGAATATCGTCCTTCTCATACCCAGCATGATCTGGCTTCGCCTGACCAGACCACCAGAGTATCACTCGTTCCTTCTGCAAGCGTCGTGCATATGCAATGTCGATTAGGAAACGTGGGTCGTTGCTCTCAAGGTTGCAGAGCGGGACGTTTCCATAGCGAGCAAGCTCCAGCAGATGAGCAACCCAGGACCCAAGATCAAGATAGTGGCCTACTAGTCGCCTGGCAATGAACGCCTGCCAGCCGAGTGGTGGTAGTTGCTTGTCAGTCTCATCAGGGTGAAGCGGTAAGATGGGCAATTCCTTAAGGATAGGAATGTCGTGGGAGAGAAGAGCCTGGTTTGGCGACTGCATGACCACAATCATGGGCCCGCTTTCGTCTGCCTTCATCTTTTTGACAATGTCCCCGACCTCAAGAAGGGCTTTTCGCTTTGTAGTCACCATCGTTGTCTTGAAATGAATGTCATCCTGGTACTCGATCATAGTCTGCCACGGTTCGCCATTGCTGTCTTCCATCCGACGTTGCAGGGCATCTCGGTAGATACGGTCGACGTTAGGCATACCCTGAGAATCCTTGGATTTGTTCTGGATGACAATATGCGCCTCATTCTTCGATGTTGAGAAGGTGCCGTAGATGTTGCGGTCTCCACTGCTGACGTGATAGAGGTATAGATAGTTGAAGGGTGCCTCAGCCAAGTATGGCTCTTTGGTCGGCACCTTTCGCAGAGCCGACAGATCGAAACCTTGTTCAAGACCCTTTCCGAGCACGCCCTTCTGCGACTCGTCGAATGTGCAGGTGCTACCCAGCTCAAGTATGGCTCGTATATTCAATGGCACATGCTTCTCGTATACGCCTTCGACACTGGAGTGGTTAAACAGTGCTGAAATGCTGTTTGCTTCCTGGACGTAAGTCTCTTCCGACATCTGGAGCTTGAAAAGGTGGATCGATGGGTGCCCGTTTGGCAGAGAGTGGTTAACGACCTTCTCCACAGAGCACCCACTGATTGAGACATCTGGAAGATCTTCACTCCTCAGGTTCAGATACAATTGTCGAGGCACGATGATCTTGAGGGCGTGTATCTTCTTGTCGATCAAAACGAAAGCTCTGACCTCGCCTGGCGTCTCCGTCGGTCGTAACTGAACAAGCTGCCATGTACTGATGTACAAAGATTGAGCCTGGTTCCTAAAAAAGCTACCGATCGCATCGGACGCATCTACAGCCTTTTCTCCGAACAATTGTCGTCTGCGCTTCCGTGCCTCTCGCTGAATCTTCCACTTCTGTTTCTGGTACATCAACCATCGGGAATAGTCTTCATCAATGCTCGGCATGACTTTGGGAAGTGCGGCGTACGGGTCGACAATGGGTACTGCAGGTTCGGGCTCCTTGCGCTTCGCCACCATCTTGGTGACTATTCCCTTCTTCATCTGGGATTGATTCTGTGTTAGCTTTGCAGAGCCGAAGTCTTCGAAATCCCCAGACAACTTGTTGTTCGCAACGTTGGCGTCGCCGTTGGCCAGCACCTTCTTGCTGAACATATCCGTCATCTTCGTCTGCTGGAGCTTGTCCTCCTTCTGACGGATCCTGCGGTCAAGCCAGTCAGGATGCGGCACCCTGGGAACGGGGTTTCGGACTTTCTGGTATGCTGCGGGGATGGTAATGAGCTTTTGGATGACAGACGCCAGACGTTCGCGGTAATAATCCCAGTCCAGTATAGATCGAAGGTCCATCTCTCCAGGATCGTCTCGCAACCACTTCCTCAAGAAGTACCTTTTGACCGTCTCCTCTGCAGAGAAGATCGCCAAAGGGACGGCACGTTCAGTGACGGGCGCGTTCCTGGGAGTCTTGGAGATGATGTACTTGCAGTTTAGACCCTTGTCTTTCACCATCTGTTCGCCCAAAAACTCAGCAAGACGTTTGGCAGTTGTGATAGCAGTTGACTTTTGCGCTCCATATTCCTCCAACGTCTTCGTCATACTCTTGTTCTCGACAATAAGATCGATGAGCTCTTCATCTGCCAGTGTCGCACCACGAGTGTCCAGAATATCGAGCCATCGGTTGGCGACCTTCGCGACGGCTCCATACGTTTCCTCCAGCGTTGTACCTTCCAAAAAGAACTTGAAGATCTGAGCCTGGAAATTCTTGATGAGCTTCAGCTCACCACGACGCTTCACCTCGAAACCCTTAAGTTCCGCCAAGCTACCGTCATGGTTGAACACAGCATAACGCTTCTTCAAGTTCTTGTCCTCTTCCTTCGATGTCGGCAAGATCATGGCCTTATACGGCCCATCGACCTCGAAGAAGATGGAGTTGTCGCTATGCTTCTCGTATCGGAAGGTTTCTGGATCTACCAATGTCTCGTACTGGTGATTGGTGTACTGCGCGTGGACCAAGTGGTTCAACATCGTGCAAGGATACGAGATCGTCAACTTCTTACCATTGCTGAGTTTGAAAGCGAAGTTCTCTGGAAAGGTCGCTGGTAGAATAGCCCAGATACCATCGGTGTCCAGCTCTAGGGGTCGTCCAATGCGCTCCACTAGTGAGCGGGCCAACTGGATAATGCGAGCACCAGTCAAGCAAGTTACACCAGCCATCTCGAGGGAGTACCAACGGGATCCTTTTCGCATCACGTAACCGTAAAAGGAGTTGAGAATGACCTTGTGGGCCAACTGCATAGAGTCAAATAGAACAATCATCTTCTTTGCATCTTCAATCTCAGTGGCAGGAGCGCCGGCTGCCTTGAGTGCCTCCGTCTTGCCCTTCCAGACCTTCTGCTTGCCCTTGAAATCGTAACGTCGGTCACGGAAGCCGCTGACGGTATCGACGTAGAATGGATTCTCACGCTGACAGATGATGGCCTCGCGCTCGATTGTCGTAGCATCGTGAACCTTGTGGTAGATCTTCTTGGAGTAATCGGTCAGACGCTTCCGGATTAGAGTAGCCTGTTCCTCTTCCGACAGTTCTTGGAAGGTTCGTTTTGGCGAATTGGGGAATCTTCCAGGGAATTGCTCGTTTTCCAAAGCGTTTCGGACCATGTTGTATTCGTCGCGTTTTGCTGGTAGGTACTCACCCCTCCAAGCCCATGGCATTCTGCGATCGCACGTCTTTCCTGGCCGGTTGAAGTCGCAAGCCGCGCAATTTGACTCGTCAATCATGGAATCAGGTTGTAAACGATTAGTTGTCATGATGTTCGGATACATAGATGCAACGTCCAAATGATAGATGAGGGGTCGCTCGTTACGATTCGGTGTGTTTTTGAGCTGCATAAGCTTCTCAACGATCTCGGCTTTGATCTCATCGTAGTTGACGACGTCTTCCATTTTCTTCTTTTCTTCAACCTCGATGCTAAACTTCAGCGCTGCATCGAGATCGTGGAGCAATTCGTCGATAGCCGTAGGATCGACAGCGAAATTGTATGCGATGTCGCTTCGGAAAACGCCAGCTTCCAGCGCTTCGACGTGACCTCCGACATAGGTTTCGGACTCCAGAAGATGACCTTCCCAGAAAGCTTCCTTCGGTGCCTGGTGCTTGTTTGGTAGTACAATGCCCTTCTGGTATGCCTGCACCATCAAAAGCATCTCGCAGAGGGTACCTGTACCCTTGCGTAGGGCGTCGTCTGGTCCGAGTGGAAGGATCTTGCACAAAGCGAAGATGAACGGATGTACATACTTCATGTATAAGTAATAGGTCGCCACAGCGTCGGAGACGGAGTACTCTGCAAGCGTCTGGGGCCGTTCGGCGGCATACGGTGTCATGAGTTCCGGATCGAGCTCGTCGGGGTCGTATCCAAGCTTAGCCATGGTAACAGCCTTCAGACCACGACTTCCTTGGGGTAGGTAACTGTCTCGACTGACCCAAGAAAAGGCATCCATATGCGCGCAATAGTCTGACTGGTAAATGTCCTCACTATTCTTCCTGAACCCAATCTCTTGATACATGTCGATGCCTTGTACGCTAGCTCTTGCTTCGACGAATGGCCAATCGAAGAAGTCTCCGTTGTATGTGACCATGACTGTTGGCTTAGCTTCCTTGATGTGTTCAAAGAAACGTTCCAAAACCGCCTTCTCGTCCGGTTCATTGAAGATCATGAACGGACCCTGGTATTCCGGTTTTGGTGTATACTCAAAGTCTGAAATATCTTCTGATACGATCTCACGGTTGGTGATGAGGAATCCCTGACCGTCAATCATGTACGATATCATCATGATCTGGTCGATAGCAGCGTCGGGAAACTTCAGCGGGAGCTTCGTTGTTTCGATATCGTAGGCCATAACGACGGGATCCGCTGGTGTCAGGCGGTCCTCTATGCACTTGATGCTTATTACGCCATGCTTAGCCTCGACAGTGTACCAGTTTCCGATCCGAACGTCCTTGTCGATAGCCACTCGTACGTGGTAGGGAACATCGTATTCCCGAATGTCTAAAATGAAATCGCTGGCGTCAACGGTGGTCGTAAATCGTTTCTCGTATTCGTACTCGTCGTTATCAAAAAAGTCAAATGCGCCATTGCCACTGTACACGTGTTAGCCATTGTCCACGCGGAGGGAACGAACCGGACTCACTTTGCAACCTCAGCATATGTATCCATCGCATTGACGTTCTTCTTGTTCTTCTCTACCACTGGTGCGACCGCTTTCCTGACAGCTAAGAGGTCGTTCACGTTGGCGAATGTGAGTTGTAAGAACTTTCTCCGGTATCCTGTCAGATGGTTTGGCATGCTCAGATCCTCCTTCTCGACTGTCTTGATTGACTTTATCAAGCCCTCGTACGACTTCTTGCAGTATTCTTCCACGTCTTGTTCCCTGCCTTTCTTGATCGCCAGCAAGAAGTATGGGTCGTATTCGAGCGTCGCTTTGAATGTGTCGCCTTCGTCGCCAATGAAGTAGAAGTCTACGCCGGCTCTGCCACCTGGTACATCATCGTCTTCTATTGTTGTCGAATGCATGTTGACGAGCCATCCCACTTTCTTCTTGCCCGAGTCGAAGCGTGCGAAGCCCATAGTCTCATCGATGCGGTGGGCGAGGCGCGTGGATTCGAGTTTTTCGTTCTGCGAGGTGCCCTCGCCACTGCGTAGTGACGAGGCATCGACCGTCTTGGGTTTCCGTGGGCCGTAGGATGTGTTGCCCAACTTGCCCACCCGGCGGAAGGGCTGACCTGCGCGTCGTGGCGCCATGGTGTGTGATGGCAGAAGGTAAATGGGTATTAAATGCTAAGTATGCAGGTCAGGGTATCATTGGGACAGAGAAAGAGCGAAAAGACGGGGTATCGACAATTGGCGGTGGGAGTGTCTTGTGGAGGGTCTCGCAGTTCTAAAGGGTGGATCGGCAAATGCTGAACGCGACGCGCGCGAGCGTGTTTTGCGCTTTCCCCATCTCGGCAAATTGATCTTGGTGTGGCTGAGCACAGCCACATCCTGTCCCCAATCTCGTGGGATCATACATGCTGGATATTTTCGGGCCTATTCCGCATCCTGAGAAAGTGAACCAACTACGACTCACCCTACCACAGTCGAAATACCAGCAACCACAAATACGAAACCTCTCCTCGAATCTCCAATAGAGACAACGCGCGCGAATATTACCTCCCCGCCGTCCTCGCATATCCCACGTATCACACCACCATGGCCGACGATACGCGGAATACCGTCGATTTGAATGCGCTGCCACCAAAGCCCCGCGCGCCAGCAAACACTATGCCCGGAGGCACAGCGCATACAGCAGGCGGAGAAAAGACTTCAGATGGCGGCCCCACATATATCGACGCAGTACGAAGTCTTGGGCCGGAATACTACTTGAACTTTCACAAGCGACCATGCGTACGAGACAGTCAATTGCAAGGACTAGCAGCTGGCTTTGCAGGAGGAAGTTTGGCCGCTATAATAGGGAGTACGTGACAAGACACCCCTAGATTGAACTGTAGGGCAATGCACTGACAGCACCATAGAGCCCGTCATCACATCCTCCAACTGGGCTGTAGCAACCTGGTGTGGCGTCTCCGTCGTTTCCTATCAAGTATGCCAGTACTACCGATCCAAGGAAAAGGCCGGCATAAAACAAGCACAAGAGCTCATGGAGAAGAAGCGTGCGACCATCGAAGCAAAGAAGGAGGCTCGGCGGAGGGCGAGGGAAGAGCAAGATCGACTGGAAATGGAGCGGAAAGCAGAAGAGGAGAGGAGAAAGAGCTGGAGTCATTGGTACCAGAAGAACGTCAAGTTCTGGTAGTGTTTTGCGAGAAGGAGCGCCGGGGAACAACTGGCCCTATGTACAATCATGTATAAGAATGTGTTGATATGTCCTGGTGTGACATGGAATCATGTGGTATGAATTATCTGACTACCTTTTGGCTCTGTTCGACCTTGACAACATATCGCGCAACAGCACTTCCGGGAGCTCGATTTCTTTATCAGCTGATATAGTCTTGCCTCAACTCCTAATCTCCAAATCGGTTCTGCTCTTCCACCAGCTGACCAGGATTGTTTCCACACCATATCTCTCGGTACTACAACGGCCAAAAGCAAAGCAACCACGGCAGCTTGGGCTGATTTCAGTGCTAAGCGTATCAAACCCGTAGCCTTTCAGAGGAAGCCAAACGCTTGGAATGACAAGCATGTCGTCACCGCCAAAGTATCGCTGCTAATCGCGAAGGCCTTTGACCTGGACGACGAAGAAGAAGACGTGCAGCCACCAAAGACTGCCGCTCTCGCTCCTCTACCTGACTGCAACAGAGGGATCAAGTCGGTTCTCTCCAAACACGCAAATCCTGGTTCAAAGCCAGCTCTGGTCAAGAGGGACGCAGCTCTCGGTAACGACGCTTGAACCCTCAATTGATTCGACTCCACTCACGTTCGTCACGACGGGCGAAGCTTCGCGCTCATTCCATGTCTCTCCATATCCTTACGATTACCAACTTTTCCCAGCCCGCCTTCTTTCCGCTCGATCCCACCGTTTCCGCCATCCAGCCCGAACCCCAGTTTCTTATGCGCTGTTTGACTGCTTCCGGCTTATTCTGCGCACACAATAGCACGTACGCGACACCTCGATCCGAGCTTAGTAATTCTGGCAACTGCTCCAACATCCTATCCGTTACCACCATGCCATCTTCACCTCCGGCGTACGACAGCTCTAGGAGGTACGAGTCTTGTTCGAATGATGTCGCTGTCTTTCCTTCCGGCACGGCGTTGAACTTGTCATGGCTCGTCAGGTCGGGTAGCTCAGCTGGTACATATGGCGGGTTGAATATGAAGACGTCGACAGAATGCGGCCGGATAGCACTTGCTAAGTCGCCGTTCACGACATCGATGAAGACCGAGCGTCTAATCTCCCGTTCTTTGATGGCATCGCGAACCGTTTGGGCAGCAGCTTTACAGGCGAAGCTATTGATATCAACCCCGATTGTCAGCACATCGTGACGACCGAATATGGTGCGTGCATTCGCAGCGACGAAGGCCAATACGACGCCTGACCCTACGCCCACCTCAAGCACCAATGGCGGGGTCGTGGGAGCATCGCCAAATCTGTCTTTCAGGTATGCTGTTTCGGACGCAGAAGAGAGCGTATCGAGTAACAAATACGAGTCTTCGGCTGGTTCGTACACGCGATCGAAACAGACGTGGGATGTGGATGGGGTTGGCAACATAGTTGCGATTTTGTTTCGAGATCGGAGGTGTCGGTGTGGGCCAATTGGAGTGGAAGGAGCACCCTAGTTTAAAGTAGAGCCGAGGCTGAGGTCATCACTTCTTGAATGCATCACCGTTCCTCTGTCGCAATATTTTGAATCTTCATCCGAATTTTCGTGCCAGTATGAGAGCCTACACGCGATTGCTAGCTACAGCAACAGATGCAGGCGCATCTAGGCCCTTTAGGCCAGCGCCTGCTGCCTTATTGCCGCCAATACCGCTTTACCGTCGCCTGCTACGCTCACATAGGAAAAGGCTGGGCGTGGAAGAGCGACTACTTGGTGACATGTACGTCAAGGCCGAATTCAGAGCGCACAGGGACATCGACAACCCCGTGCAAATAGTGAGTTGCAATCAATCCAGGGTAGTGGCTTCGTAACGTCACAGTTTCTGACATGAACAGATCGGGTTTTTATCAGAATGGCAAACATATTGTCAAATGCTCGAAGGGGATTCATGGAAGGAAGCCAAGATGGACAAAGCAAAGATTGACAAGATGAGCGGTAGGTCTATCATCTAGTGTAAACGTTGCGTGCTGATTGGATCACAGATCAACAAATCGGTCAGCTGTACGAGCTCATGCAACAGATCAAAAACCAGGCTCAGGAGGACGCCGATGCCGAAGAAAAGCGTGTGGTTGACTTGCTTGACAAGAAGGATCCCAAAGAAAAGTGATCGCGCCACGCGTGAATCACAACCTGGAATTCAATAACGATCAAGGGGCAAACGTGGCAGACTTCACTCCCAACGATGAATGCGTAAACACGACAAGCTTCGATGCTTCACATCGCACTCCAGGATGTACTATATATATCAGCAATATCAGATCAGTCTCCAATATCCTCTACGCCCACGTCTGTCGTTCCATGATCGCACTCCTTCAAAGAGTCTTCGCTTCACGGTTTGAAGCCCTCCTCAGCCCATCGCAACTATCAACACCCTTTCTTGGCCTAATCATATCCTACTGAGAGTGGTACACTATCGGCACTCGACCTGTGTCGTCTGACTACCCGAGACCTACACCTTGTGCAACTTCTCTATCCGTGCGACATGTGCGGCTGCACCCTATACGACTCACCAACATGTGGTCATTCCTGGATCTCCATGAGCCAACCTTGCGGCTTTCTTTCTGATCTCCTCAATTGCCCCAACCGCCAAACCTATCAGACACTAATTGCACCACCATACACCTGTCCTGTTTGCAACGGCGGATTTGCAGATCGAGAGACAATTGAGATGGTTCAGGGACCTTGGGGTTGTAATCAGATGCTTCGAAATTACGTTGGCGGCAACTACGCGATCCCGGGTCAGTGGGGCAGCGCACCATTCATGTCTGGTGGGTGGGGAAGCCCAGCGATCACTCCTGGACCCATGTCTGGTGCTTTGATTCCCATGAATCAGGGCTTTACCTATGATCACCGCCTCATTGGCCCCTATGGCCCTCAAAGCATGATATCGCATGCTCCGATGATCACGAACGGACCGATGATGGGCGGTTCAGCGATGGTTATGCATGAACCAACGATGTACGACAACGGATTTGGTGCCTACGACGATGGCTATGCCAGCGACTACAATGGATATTACGATAACAGGCGAAAGAAGAGGAGGCGTAAGAGCCATTACAAGTACAAGTATACAGACAAGCCTGCGACCAACTGTACGGTTATGTAGATTGTTGGGTTGCTAAGGTGTATGAGATATTGCAGTGGGGCTCTGTGTATACAGGACACTGCATTTGTTTTATAACTTGGGCATGGATAACGTGGTGGCTTGGAATTGAAGCACGTCTTTGAGATAGTTCGCTGGACGGCTAGGTGAGGAGGCGATAGTGAAGCAACCACTGCCCTGGTAGCGAATCAGCGGCTCGGTAAATTTTAGGGCAAGAAGACCCTGCGTCAAAAAACGCCTAGCCAACGGCCAGAGGGCCCAAGAATGAGGCGGCGAGACTATCTCGAGTTGACTCAAGTCAGGACAAATTACATATCTAAGCTGGCTGTCGATCGCGTGAAGACATCTAATTTGTTACAAGAAGGCGTGATCAGCACCTTTGCCCTTGCTTTATTCGAAGGGCTACCAGTCTGTCGGCTACGTCATTCGTCACGGGGCCCGGGCTCCTTGTAACCAGACTTCCTAAAACATTACCGTACTTCTCCTGAGCCATCCACCACTCACAGAACATAGCAAGAACCAATCCAGACCACACATATACAATGGCAACCAACGCGCCCACCTTGATCAACCTGCCGCCGCCGCCATCTGGCGACGAGACGCCTGGTGATGCTCCGTAAGGCACATGCGCTTGGTGGGGTTCATTGAAATAGTCGGACTGACGCTGTATACACAGAGGTACCCCGAACTCGGTCACCACGACCATGTCTGAGCTCTCGACCGTCGCCATCAAGGATGGACATCGCGGTCACTTCCCTCACCACCGGAACCCTGCTGAAGCTGAGCGTGCCGACCGCATCTCGCGCCTGGCCGGTCTGGAGCGCGTTGCAGTCTCGGGCCGCACTCCCCAAGGACTCAATCCAGGCAGCGCTGCCAATCCACCACCAGGCTACTTTGACGCAAACAATCAGCCGCAGCTCTTCCGCGAGCGCAGCACGGTTGGTAGTGCCAGCGCAACCGGATCCGTTGGCGGTCGCACGACGTGGGCAAGTGGCAGCGATGTCTACGAGCCGGACCGCATGAGCGAGGACCAGGACATGGACACATCAAGCATGGGAGGCTTCAGTGACGAAGCCGCCTCTCTAGTTGGCTTCGGCGAGGGTGCGCGCACACCAGCTCGGCAGCATAGTCAACTCGGCAGCCCTGCTGTTGGAAAGGCAAGCGCTCTGCCGGGCTACTTGCGAGAACAGACGCCGACCAGTCCAATGTCAGGTGTCAGCGTGCCTGTCAGTTCTGGATCGACGCAGACCATGTCCAGCACGGAGCAACAGAAGAAGGAAGCACGCATGATGAACGGCATGACCTACGATGACAACATCGTCGATACGGCGAGCCATGCACCCCCCGCCAGTGGCCGCGATGGAGACTCTACTTCAGGAGACGCCATTCGTGAGCGCATGGCGCAGCGCAAAGCTGATCAAGATGCTGGCATGGACTATGAGCACCAAAAGGACACTTAGGGAAATGTTTCTTGTTTCACTCGAGTCATGCTTTGAGGCGGGCGTTGGGCAAAACCTGATCGAATCACGGAAGACCATTCCTTGACGTTCAGGATGTTAGTATGGGCGGAAATCAATCAGCCTGAGGGCTGCGTACCAGAGTGTTTTTTTTTTAAATGAATGCAATGCTTTTATGATTGACCACCGCTTAGACCTTTGGACCCCTTGAGCCATTGGCGTGCTTCCCCGGTTTCTATACTTCAGTATGACGTCGAGCACGCGATTGAATGGCTTGGAGCGCCCGTCCGCCGCCGTCACTTGCGGACGCGTCTGTAACCCCGCAAGGCTGTGTCCATCGATGCGCAATCATGGCCGACACGGTTGATAGCAATGGTATGCAGCGAATCACACCCCGCATTTTGGCTGCAGCTTGCGGCCCAAGTGCCCTGGCCAGGCAGGAGACGATCTTCTGGGCTCTGCATCTGCAGGCAAGCCCTCCCCACCTCATTCCACTTCACATGCCGCAAACACAGTCCAGCCCAACTTGAAGCTGCAAGCCGCGCGACTGCTCGTCTCCTTGCGACAAGACCATTCAGAGCATCTAGCCATCACGCGTATACAAGTACATACCCACCCACGCGTTCCGATAAACACTTTGTGTGGAGCCCCGCATACCCCAAAACATAGCCGCCGTCACCATGGCAGACCACGACAACACGGAGGCTATTGACGTCAAGGACACTTCCCTCAGCAGCTCCGTGTCTTCCATCGGCCGCACGCCTCCTACTGCGCTCAAATTGGGCTCCAGTCCCAGCCCGGCGTCGTCACACCGTTCGAGCTTCGCGGAGCACATGCGAGGAACGCCCACATCACCACGCGCGTCACGGCAGCCTTCGCTGACACAGCAGGCGCTGCAAGACCTCCTCAACAACCCACCAACCAAGGGCGGTGATCCAAAGTTCCAGGGACGCGATTGGAAGACTGTCAGACTTGGAGAGATTGTCGATCCTGACCTGGTGAGGTTCGTCGAGTACGATACCAGCGTTGAGGATGCAACGAGCGTGGGTTATATGCAGCTATCTCCATGCGCATGGGGCTAATTTGCATAGATACTAGTCAAACATGGCGCCCCCAATGTTGTCCTCCTGCGCGAAGACGCGAACACACGGCATGCGACCGGGACCTTCGACTATAGCGACCTGAACGCGTACCTCCTCCTCGTAGTCGGCCTCGCGCACCCCGAAGAAGGCGACATCGCCTCGTTTGATGAGCTTGCACAGAAAGGAAGAGAAGGAAAGCCCATACCGCTCAAAGACGTAAAAGAGGTGGGTGGCAGGAAGGAGCCGTTGATTACTCTCGATGAGACAACGGATCTGTCCAAGGCCATGGAAGTCTTCGGAAGCGGTGTACACAGAGTGTTAGTCGCAGAAGAAGGCACATCGAACGTCAAAGGCATACTTACCCAGCTGAGATTGGTGCAATTCTTCTGGGAGAACCGATCGAGCTTCCCAGGTGTGAACCAGCTGTACCCACAACTGATCAAAGACCTGAATCTTGGGTCCAAGACGGTTCTCGCCATCAAGTAAGTATAGCGCAGGTTCGGAGAAAACACGAAGCTGACCGGATATCAGTGGAGATAAGCCTCTTGCGGCGGCTCTGGAGCTCATGAACAACGAAGGCGTGTCGTCACTCCCAGTTTTGGACGCGCAAAACAACGTCATCGGCAACATATCGCATGTGGATGTTCGGGTAAGTCTCCTTTGTCCAGTTTCATACTCCGCGGCTAACGGCTGGTGCATAGCTTTTGACTAAATCCACATCTCTCCCACTGCTTCGCTCATCCTGCATTCACTTCATATCCGTCATCTTGTCCGAACGGGGTGTGAATGACGGCAAAGACTCCTTCCCCGTCTTCCACGTCAACCCATTCAGTACCCTCGCACACACTGTAGCCAAGCTAGTCGCAACCCGCTCGCACCGCATGTGGGTCGTGGATGCGCCGTCTCCGGCCTCGTCAGGGCCATCGACTCCAGCGATAACACCTGCGATTGTTGTTCCTCCTTCGCCAATCACACCACTACCAGGGATGGCCGGCCCAACACCCGTCAATTCCACTGCGCCGACCCACCTTGCTAGCACCGGAGCGGTTGCCCCAGCTATTTCTGCGTCAGCAATCTCTGCTATGCCAGGTGCCAGCTTATCTGGTAGACTAAGTGGCGTCATCAGTCTTACGGATATCCTGAATCTGTTCGCAAGAGCAAGCGGGCTCAATCCCCATGATCCAGACGAAGCGCGGCGTGCTAGGCGCAGGTCGAGCTCCAGTAGCATGAGGCAGAGCATGGATAGCTCAAGGAGCGAAAGTGTGTCGGCTATCGCTGGAAGAAGGAGCAGCGTGAGTGAGAGGGAAAAGAACGCTCCCGCAGCTCAGGGATTGGGCATCTCCAGAGGACGAGGTGCGTGATGTTTGCTGAGGAAAGAGTTATTCTCTGGGGGAAATCACTATTGAGGCATTTCGGACATAGCTATTGCTCTATGGTATTGATAGGCGTCATCAGCGAGTTGTCATTTCAGGTGGTTATAGAGTAGATATTGCCGGATTTTTGTATGGCACACCTTTCCCTCAATCGGTACCATCATAGGCTTACAGAAGTTGCGTGCTTGCGCGCGTGAGAAACAAAATAAAAATAGTGTATCAAGGCAACTCAGCATGTCCCCTTGCATCATCCAACTTTCCTGAATAAGAGACCGTCGTGTATGGCAGACGGGGGGAGAGGCCATTTGAGGGTTACTGCATTGACATCAGGGAAAGACTTAGTAGCGTCGGGCTTTAACTCTCCCTGAACACATTCAGGCGCTGGTGTTTCATCGTCCTTCTTCTTCGAAGTACTCTTCTCATTTCCGCCTGGGGGCTATTCCAGGGTCATTAAATGTTTCCACAAAGTATCAAATCGTTTTGGAGCATACATACAGAAAATTCAATTTGATCTCTCATGCGAAGTGCCTTCTCGCAGCGTCTGTGTATATTCCTGTCGGGAGGCCGTAGCACCATGGTTTGTTGTGTTGTGCAATACTCCATGTTCAAGTTGGATATAGAGACAGTTTAGAGAGAGCAAGAAGGCGATGGGTCTTTAAAAAGAAGTCTGATACGAGATTCTTGTATTCGTGCATACTAATTACCAATGTGGTGAAGTACATGGTGTGTGTGCTGTCGTGCTGCTGTCGCTGTGCATGTGTTGCTGGCTGGTGGGCGTTTGGTATGTAAAGAGGTTGAGAGAAACGAATGATTAGTATCCGAATAAGGTCTTGTGACGGCAGAATCTAATCACGATGAGGACACCTTCACATTGTCACACTGTTCTGGCATCGTATTTGGCTTGATGTGAAGCGTGTGGGTTCCTGGTATGGATTTGTGATATCAAAGCAAGAGCAGAGCGATTGCATGGATTTGGGAGGGTTCTATCTATGCTTTTTGAAGGCCATCTTTCGTAGTGGTGGAACAGTCTGTGAAGCAGTGCGGCGTTGCCCGAGATGTCCGAGATGCATACAAAGATGCTATCGCCCATTGGGGAAGGCGCTGCCAAGGCTCGCTTCTCTCACAGGTCGACCAATATTGCTCCCCACCTCGAGAATCCGTCTCTCACGAACTTTCGAACCGACAAAATTAACGGCAGTCACTCTTTACAACCAGAACCGATTGACTACCTCAAGCACTAGCCATGCGTGAGTATCATCCTTCTGGTCGGCTCTTACGAAGATGCGCGAAGTTTTTGAGTGGCTAGGACACCCAATCGGGGGTGTTTCTTGACACTCAGAGAACTCAAACATCTTCAACAGCCAGGCTTTCCTAGAAATCGCCATGCGCTTACATCCTCAAAGCTCCCAAGTTCGATCCCTCCGAGGTGAAGGTCATTCACCTCCGTGCGACCGGTGGTGAAGTCGGTGCCTCATCCGCGCTCGCCCCCAAGATCGGTCCTCTTGGTCTCTCGCCCAAGAGTACGCAACGAACCCATCGACCAGCGCATATGCATGGAAATACTAATTCGATATGCAGAGGTCGGTGAAGATATCGCCAAGGCCACTGGTGACTGGAAGGGTCTCCGTGTCACCGTCAAGTTGACCATCCAAAACCGTCAAGCCGCCGTCTCCGTCGTTCCCTCCGCTTCCTCCCTCGTCATCAAGGCTCTCAAGGAGCCTCCCCGGGACCGCAAGAAGGAGAAGAACATCAAGCACACCAAGAGCGTTCCTCTCGATGAGATCATCAGCATTGCCCGCACCATGCGCTTCAAGTCCATGGCCAAGTCTCTGCAGGGTACCGTTCTTGAGATCCTCGGAACTGCCTTCAGCACTGGCTGCAAGGTCGACGGTCGCAGCCCCAAGGATGTCTCTGACGACATCAAGGCTGGCGAGATTGAGAGTATGTTATACCTGGCAACTTGCGAAAATCAATCGCTAACAGAGCGCAGTTCCTGAGGAGTAAGCGTTTGCACCAAGAAGTGTTTAACGATCACGATTGGAACGATACATGCCATAGAGGGTGCTACATAGCTGAATGAGGACAACGTCTCCCACCCAGAGTTACCCGTTCCGGGACCGGTGGAGTTTGCACAGCCGCGGCGTTTGGGATGTTTGATACCAGACTACAAAAAGTGACCCTGGCATACGACAATGATACAATGCATCTTGTCAAATCAAGAACGTCTTATGTCTGTCGTGATAACCCTCTCGAATACGCATATGCCATGTTCCTCCCTCTCTGACATATGCGCTTTTATTTTTTATACCTTGAAGGATCCAGTACGCACTCTGATGTATGAAAATGTCAATGCAGCAAGGCCGTCGTGCATCGCAACCTTGAAGTTCGGTGTTCCGCACTACATTTCCGCGACTCCGCGTCACCCGTCAGTTCCTGACACCTGAACAACCAACGCAACCGCTTCAACATGTCGGACGAACGTACACGTCAACCGTACAATGCGTCGGCGACAATCAGACGAGTTACCGCGATTCGTAGACGAAGCTAAATCTCCCTCGTTCCGCCTGCGACGCCGCCACGCGTACTACTTCCTCGGCTTCTTCTTTATCTGCTGGATCCTATATCCATCGCGCAAGACGACACCTCATACTGGAGATGCTATCAGGGTCAACTGGTCAAACTATGCCTACAGCGTGTACGCGACCGACAGCACCGAACTATGTCACGCCGTAATGGTCCTGGACGCGCTCGCTCGATTCGGTAGCAAAGCGGACCGCGTCCTCTTCTACCCGGAGCGTTGGGACACAAAAGTAGACAGCCCTCAGGACCGAGACAGTCAGCTGCTCAATTTGGCGCGCGATGAATACAAGGCAAAGCTTCATCCCATCAGGCTGCTTGAGGTGGCAGGCCGTACAGAAGGTATGCATTGCGCAAGTGCCTATTCGCCCGGCATATGAAGCGAGACTCTACAAGCACATGGCTAACCTTTCTTAGGTGACTGGGTATGGGACAAGACCGTCACGAAGCTCATGGCCTTTGGTCTAGAGTACTACGACCGCGTAATCGCTTTGGAGTCGCAGATCACGCTCCTCGACAATCTCGATGAGCTCTTCCTCCTCCCACAGACGCCGATAGCGATGGCACGGGCATATTGGACGGATAGCAAACCATGGCCATTGTCGACGACGCTCATGGTTGTCAAACCTAGCCTCGACGAGCTTGCGAAGTTCAAGAACCGCATGGAAGGGGGTGGTGATAGCATGTTGGTCGAGATGCACAGATATGACATGGAGGTTCTCAACGAACGCTTCGAGGAGAGCGCGCTAGTACTTCCACATCGACCTTACGCCCTTCGTACGGCAGAGTTCAGGCGCCACAATCATTCCGAGTATCTAGGCAGCGCTGATGAGACATGGAACGCTGAGAAGGTCTATAAGGAGGGGAAGATCATCCACTTCAGCGACCTGCCGCTGCCTCCCCCGTCAGTCATGTGGTCAGAAGAGGCGTTGAAGGAGATGCAGCCCGATTGTGGCGGCAGTCCTGAAGCAACCTGCGCTGAAAGACGGATATGGAAAGGCTTATATGAAGATTTCAGAAAGAGGCGAAAGGACGTTTGCAAGCTGCTCAGTGTGCCAGCACCGGACTGGACCAAGATCAAAAGCGAGCATCATCACGAGGTTGTGACTGGGTTTGGTAGTATTGCGCCGATAGGTGAGGCTGCGTCTGTGTCTGGTTCTGGTTCTGGTTCTGGTTCTACTTCTACTTATGCTCCTGGTGCACCTTCAAGTGAGAAATAGCTAGTCATTAATCTCCGCAAATCCGTGTACCTGCATCTTGACCAACATTTGGCTCTCGCTTGCGGCCCGATTGTAGTGTTCGCCAGCCCATGCCGAGGAAAATCTGAAACTGATGAGCAAACGGCGTAGACGGCACGGTTATGCAATACCATGCGGATAGGTGTGGTAGCGTCATCTTCGAGGAGACCGTAGCAGTGCCGCCAGCCGTGGCTGTCGCATCAGGGCGCAAGCTGAGGCTTATTTGATGACTAGAAATAAAAGCGTCATGATTGGTACACTAAAACAGTCCACGACTACAGGCTCAGACAAGTGACCATATTCCCCCCACGCACCAACAACGCAGATTGAGTGATGAGACATGTCGACAACCGATTGCTGTGCCTCATGCATCAGCCCGCACAGGCTCGGAAGGAAGAAGGACGGCGCCACGCGTTCGCGGATCCACCAAAACTTCCGAAGCGCCACCCTTCCAACTCGTCGCTGCAATCCTCATCACCACCATCACCACCTCTGCACTCGTATACGGGACTGTCACACCAGACTTCCCACATGCACACTCACCCCGGAATGTCAAGCCAGATATGTCACAACAGAAAGAGCAGGTCATGGTAACACCAGGCATGCATGTTGGGGTAACAGCCGTTTGTTTTAGCGCGGATTCCATTCGCGGTCGGGTGGTGGGGAACCCACTTTCACTCTAGCCTCCCACTTAGGGGCCGTGACGCCAGCCCCAGCAGTATCGGTGCAGGCTGTCAGCGCGCAGGGTTACCATGGCTATATTCCAAGGCATGGACAAAGAGCGTAGTATCGAACCTGGCAGCACACACTTCGTATATGCTCCCGAGGATGAGTGAAGGAAGTGGGGTACGTTGCAACGCGGCAGCAGCCACAAGAGAAATGCGGTACGGATGCGAGCGCGTGGGCGGCGCGGTCTGGTGAAAGCGGGAATGGGTTGCAGCAGAGGCTGTCGAGGGCTAGCATATGCAGCAAGGCTGAGCAACTAACTGGCTCTGATATACCAGCTAAGGGGTACTTCCCGGTTAGTGCACCGCCCAGACGCTGATCTGTGAGCTTGGGATGCGAATAGCCTAACCAGGATGGCAAAGCTGAACTACTCAATGCGAAATTGATAGATATCCTCCTTCCCTCACCCACGTTGTGAGTTTACTCCGGAGTCCACCGCCAACGCTGTTCGTCGTCACTACTCATGGTTATTGGCCATTCACAACAACACAACAACCCACTCTCTTCGTGCAGATATTACTCCCACTCTCATTACAAAGTAGCATCCTAACAGCTGAACAACCATGCGCGATTTCATTTTGGCTTCCGTGGTCACGGCCTCAGCCTTGTTCGCCAGACAAGCTGAAGCTGTCGCTGCAAACCCTCTACCGAAACCTACAAACATTACCTGGGGCGACTCTGGCTGCTTCTCTTTCGGATCTGTCACTCTCGATGCGCAGGACCACAAGGTACTCTCCGCTGGGTTCGACCGCGTCACTAAGACCATCGCGGAGTTGAAGTGGGTTCCGCAAGCCACTGAGGCCCCGGTCACATCATTTCAGCCTTTTCCGACCCCAACCGCTGCCTCAAGAAAACGCAAGAGGCAGTACAGTGCACCACCCGGAAATTGCACACGTACAATCACCAAGGTCAAGGTTGATGTATCCGATGCCCACGCTGAGCTTCAACATGGCGTTGATGAATCTTACACGCTCGACGTCGTAGCTGGTTCGGATACTGTCAAAATCACCGCTGGAACCGTTTACGGCGCCCTCCACGCTCTCACAACGCTACAGCAGATTGTGATCAACGATGGCTCAGGTAAGATGATCATCGAACAGCCAGTCGCTGTCAAGGATGCGCCACTCTATCCGGTGCGCGGTATCATGATCGATACAGGCCGCAACTTCATTACCAAAGCCAAAATCTTAGAACAAATCGACGGAATGGCTCTTTCGAAGCTCAATGTCCTGCACTGGCATCTCATCGACTCGCAATCCTGGCCTGTGGAGATTAATGCATATCCTGAGATGACTGAGGACGCCTACTCAGCCAACGACATCTTCACTCAGGACATGTTGAAGGAAGTAATCGCCTACGCCTCCGCACGCGGCGTACGCATCATCCCGGAGATTGATATGCCAGGACACGCCAGCTCTGGTTGGGCTCAAATCGACGAGTCCCTACTTACCTGCCAACACAGTTGGTGGTCAAACGACAACTGGCCACTGCACACCGGCGTAGAGCCCAATCCAGGTCAACTTGACATCCTCAACAACAAGACCTACGAGGTGACAGCTAAAGTGTACAAGGAGATGACACAGGTCTTCCCAGACAACTGGTTTCACATTGGTGGCGACGAGCTCTTTGCAAACTGCAACAACTTCTCCACTGCAGCCCTCGCATTCTTCAACAGCGGCAAATCAATGGGCGACCTCTACCAAGTCTGGGTTGACCGCGCACTTCCCAACTTCCGTGCACAGGCCAACAAGACTTTCGTCATGTGGGAAGACGTCAAGCTTTCCGCTGACGTGGCCGCTACAGGTGTCGTACCCAAAGACGTTGTCCTACAGGCTTGGAACAACGGTCTCGACCACATAAGCAACCTCACCGGACAGGGCTACCGCGTCATTGTTTCTAGCTCCGATTTTATGTACCTGGACTGTGGATACGGAGGCTGGGTAGGCAACGACCAGAGGTACAACGTCATGGTCAACCCCAATGCGACAGACGGTTCACCCAACTTCAACTGGGGCGCCGGCGGTGGCTCTTGGTGCGCACCGTACAAGACATGGCAGCGAATCTATGACTACGACTTCACGCTTAACCTGACCGACACTCAGAAGGCGCTTGTACAAGGCGCCATCGCGCCTCTCTGGTCCGAGCAAGTCGACTCTGTCGTCATTTCTCAGAAAATGTGGCCGCGCGCTGCTGCGCTCGCGGAACTTGTTTGGAGTGGAAACAGGGATGAGAATGGCAACAAGAGGACCACGGAACTCACGCAGCGCATTCTTAACTTCAGGGAGTACCTTGTTGCGGCGGGTGTACAGGCCAGTCCGCTGATGCCCAAGTACTGTCTGCAGCATCCGCACGAGTGTGATCTGAATCTCGATCAGACCGCATTGCACACACCTGCCGCCTAAGAAATGGAGTTTCCTTCATCTCAGCATAAGGAGGCTGTTCAATACTTCATTCTAGGGGTAGGTATTTGGGAAGACTGGTAGAAAGGTTTGGGTGAGAAGGAAGCTGAAGGTTGAGGCATGTTTGCATCTTCGTACATACCCATTTTGACTTTGAATACATGTCTATTATTCTACATACCCATGTCCGCATGTGTAACTGCTCTGTATTGTTAAATCTAAGATGTGGTCTATGAGACCCTCATACATGTCAGTAACAGGTGCTGTGGAAGTTTGACGTAATAGAAGTTTGCTATCAGGTGACTACTGACGACCAGGTCATGAAATACCGTAACTCCGTTGCGCAATCATCTCGTACACAAAGAATGTCTGCTGCTCCTGTAGCACCATTGCTTCTTCCCCTGCAAAGGCGTTCCTAACTTCAGGCAACAATTTCACTTACCCGCTTTATTTGTTTCCCTTTGCCTCCACCGCCACACTGCTTAGGGCGACTTGAGATCCTTGGCTGCAAGTACCTCATTCGCAGCTGCCATCTCGGGACTGGTAATCTCCTTCTTGCCTAGTGTGTGCGGGTTGGAGCAGTTGTCTGAACTGCCAAATGGCTTCTTTACTGCATCTTTGAGCTTGTCGGTAGTAGTCTTGTGGAGCGAGTTATCATCATCGTCAGTGGATGTAGAGGTAGATGTCGATGCCTCTGGGACAATTGGCTCTGTGGAAACGTGTTAGCTGGTGTGTTGAGTATCTATACGAGTGGCCCAGTAGGAAGTTGAGGTAAAGTGCCGGTAGGGCATAGACACGGATCAGCATGATGGAGTAGAGAGACACGAACCTTGAAATTGAAGGTCGATATTGTCATGCGAAGGCGCGGTGCTGTCGACAGAAGGGGAGGTGGTGCTGGTAGCCCCTGGTAGCCCATCCGTTGGAGGCTCTACAAATTGTTAGCACACATACGCTTGTTCATGGCCAAACCAATGGCAACAAGACCGTTGAAGGATAGTGCCAGACTGGATAAACACACCCTGGAACTGTGCCGACTGGTTGGTAGTAGCCATGACTGATATGATTGGTTAAGCAGAACTTGATCGACAAAGTATGAAATTCGAGTGATGTTGTTTTGACGTATCGGAATTGCATCCGCGGGGAAGCTGGCATCGTGATATACAACAACCTCGCGCTACGTCACCGGCTGACAGTGCGTGTCGTGGCTGTCGCGTGCCCAGATGATTGGGAGTGACCGAGGCGCAGCCACCCCACTTATCCCGCCTCCTAGCGCTCCAGACCCTGACTTGAACCCTGGACATCAGTACGGTTTGGGCCAAGTGCTCGTCAGAGGCGGGCTGTCGAGATCTAGAAAGGGACCTTGGGGTCTGGATTTCTTCATGCGGAAAGAGGAGGATGTCTGGAAGGATTGTTTGATAGCCTTGGCTAGGGCTAGATGGCGTTCTAGATGATCCGGATCGTGTGAAGCCCGTTCTCGTAGCGGAGACAAGGCAGACGAGTCTTCTTTTCTTCGTCCAACTCCACCAACAGCTGGTCTTTGCCTTGATACGAATTAGCCTTGACAAACCCTATCCTTTCGAACAACTTTCTTTCTTTATCAACAAGCCTTAGCATCAAGCAAGCGACCTGAACCCCCACTTCCAGTTCACCAGGCACGGCTCGCCCTAATCGATATGGCTTGAAAAAGAGATTGCCACTCGCGCTATCATCGTTGAATGCTGTCTCGGTGAACACAGGAGTGTCAAAGTATAGCCAGGGAAAACCTCGCCAAGTCTCCCGACCGTTATTGTCGTTTGAACAAACCAATGCTCCATCGACTACCACGGCTATATTTACGGGTGGAAATACAAATTGTTCACCTGCCGGATACACATGGACCTTTGGGCATAGTTTCATGGGCTTTAGTGAGCCACGCAAGTCCAACCATCCACTCGTCACTGCACCGGTTATATCTTCCGTCTCGTATTGGAGAGAAACATCCTCGACTTGCACTAAACACTCTTCTTCTGGGAAATCCATGAACGTTATAGGCTCATCAAGAGAAGCCCAGCTCCACGTAGGTGCTCGATATATCTGAGGTCGCGAGGTACGTGGATCAGGCATGGGTGCCCAGAATAGATGCGTTCCAAGACTCTTACGCCACATACCAGCGACATAGGTGTCGCCATTGTGAGGCATTATGTGTTTGGCGATACCGGAAAGCGCAATTGGCTTATCGCTTGGTACTGATAGATCCATATTTGCATAGTAACCGACGACCTGCCGATACCAGAAGCTTAGATAGAAGTCCGCGGCGTTTGAGGCGTTTTTTTGCCAGACCTTTTTCATGTCATGACCTTGGCTTACACGTGATGACATCTCTTCTGGGGATGTTTCACAAGCGCCAAGTTCCCGACACTCCCAGAACAGCTGATAGCGACAAAAGTGAAGGATCCGTGGCGCGAGAAGCCTCTCTTGGAAAACCCACCCCCTGCTGTTAAGCTTTGCATCCAGTACGTGACGTCTCCAGAAAATACCCTCGTGCAAGACATAATCTACAGGTTCGGTATCTGGTTCCGCACGGCTAAGGTCAGCCTTAAAGTTGATGGGCCCGCAGAACTGAGGCTGACGAGACCGAAAAAGGCCTTCAGTGCTGTCGCTGGCATCCGCCACAGATAGATTACAGTAGGAGTTGAAATACACTTTGTCCATCAGGCTGGCTTCACGGTACAAGTCCTGGATGTTGCTTTCATCCTGGATAATGCAAAGGCTGTCCACCCATAGATACCGAATTCCAAGTCTTTTAGCTGCTTCTACCGCTTCTCGGGATGTTTTCGGTAGATCCTCGATCTGATATACTGGGCAATGGCTTGCTGCCATTGCATTTATCAGCTGCATCAGCTTTGCACTTCCCCAGCAATGACTAAGAGTGCCGTAGGGGCCCGATGACGGTGTTTCTGCTGTATGAATGAGCCATACACAGGTGGTCTCACTGTTGCAGCATCCTAGATCTAACAGTCGCGTGGATACCAAGAGCTCTGATCGGTACTTGCGTTGCAGTTTCTGTGGTTTTGACTACACTCTAGTAGCCATTTAGCAGCCACCTGGAAGGATGCATCTGAGCCTGTACTATCCGTCGTGACGCGGCCCATTGGTGGTAATTCTGGACTGCGTATGTAATCTACGGCAACTCAGCGTTTGCGTCATTGTAAACGGTTAATCCACCTACCGTCCTTTTTCTGTAACGAGAAAGGGCTACGTCTTTGGTACAGTCTTGGAAAGACTATCATGTGGTACCTTACACAGAAACTGATCGTGTTCGTTTGGTATTGTGGAGTTACATCTGTATGAGTGATCCAAAAAGACTCGGAGCCGCTATTGTTCACCGAACCTCCACCATGCGTTCGTGACTGTGTGGATTTCAAGTATTCCTGTTCAGACTTCGATAACCGACCCCAGACCAGCAGACAGATATAGTATCCATTAGCTACCGACCTGAGAAGCGAGTCTAGTGTATAATGATGAGGAACCTGACAAGTAAGATGTCAGTTTGTCTGTCTTCAACAACTTGTAACGTGTATTGGCATTCAGACCTACGTCGGTATCATGATCAAGTGGGTTATGCTTTGACTCGGCGTTCCTTGAAAAGGATCGTAGTATACGATGCTGCACTAGCGAATTTCTACAGGGTTCGCAGAGCATTGCAAGTTCTCTTAGGGTTGGAATGAGGTGCTTGCGATGCTTCTGTAGTTGCCAATATCTCATAGAAGAGGAAACTGCAAGCGTGCGGCGTAGTCACCCCACCTTCCATTGCTTCATCTCCCCGAGTCTCATTGAGCACTCGGGAGAGAATGAAGATGCAAAAACTCGAATCTCATTCCAAAACACAACTTGGTTGTGAGCTTGATACAACTCTGTTCAGTTGAATAGAGGTTTGAATTGGTTTAATGATCAACTTCCGAGGTCACGTTGCGATACTCGAGACGCCATACCTAGACCAGCATTAGCAGCGGAACCCCCAGCCGAGCTTGATTGGAAGATACGTAACCCCACTGCGGCATTGCCCCACCATCGAATTGTTCGCAGCTGATGCGGTCAGCCACTTGGATCATGTTTCAGGCGCGCAAACATGTGGTCATGGTGTTTGTAATTTTGGATTTTGTCAACCACATCCGCCCGTTTAGCACAGTGGTACTGCGTCGCACTCGTAACGCAGCATATGTTCGATATGCGAAGATCCACGGTTCGATTCCGTGAACGGGCAAATAGCATTGTTTTTGAGGTTTGTAAAGCCTGGGTACATTGTGATGTATCCTCCGATATGTTTTGCGTATGCCCAGAGCAGTGAGCATTTGATTTTTTTGTATAAAACAGGTCTGCAGACTACACTAGGATGAACTAAGCAACCTAGAAGACTTCGTAGTAGTGTAGGCTACATGGTGTTCGTGCGCTATAGATCCAACTGTAAGCGCAGAGGGAAAGCCTACCAAGTACAGCTTGTCTAAGCTGGAGTACCACGTCACAGGCAACATGCCCCTTTCGCACAGTTCAGCACAGCTTCGGCAGTATCACCAAAAAGACTGGATTCCAGGACCGTGTGCTACGCAGAGGAAAAGGATGGTAGCGAGACAGTCGGAAGCATGGATGTGTGGCGGTAAGGCGAATGCGGCTGCGGCCACGCTCGGGGGCGTTGGCTAGTCGAAGATGGAAGATGCATGCGTACATAGGTACAGCTTTTGGGTAGAGAAGAGAAAATGTGTAGTCCAATTTTGCTACCAAGATCATTTTGCTTTCTCATGCGGTGTCACAACTCTTCATGCTCCTATCCGACGGGTCTCGTGCTCATCATGATATGCTAGCTTCACCGAACGCACCAGTACACTCCGTATGAACGAACGCATTTCAATGTCGTGGTATTTTATCAAGACTATAGTACAGCAATACAGCTCCTATGCTGCTGCCTTTTGCGGCTTCCCGCCAATCAGCGCCAAAATGTTGTCGAACAGACCCTGCGGTGGCGGAGGGACTGAGCCGTCATGCAGTACGTTCTGCAGATCCTGCATATTGAAAACATGCTCGTCGCGCTCAATGTCTTGAGTAAGATCCTCGGAAACCAAGAGGTTCGCCAAAGGTCTACCGGCCTCTTCTTCTTCGTCTACTGGGTAGGCGATGGATTGCTTGTCCGCCTGCTCCTCTGGCGGGGGAGTCGGCAGCTGTAACGATCCAGCGCTAGGAGTGATTGTCCTGAAGTACGATCTAGAGTCGAGAACAACGTAGCCACCGCTTTTTCGGGAGGCAAGACCGAGCGTGATGCTGAAACATGTATCTTTCCAAATTGCCTTCTGGTGCTCTGGACTGTGGATGGAGATCCTCGACGAGGTCCTCTTCTCGAATTGAGGAAGCGAGACGGCGAATGTACCATCGACTTCGTTGCAAGCCAGTCGAACCAGCGGTACGCGCTCCAGACGTCCAATGCCAGGGGTTTCTATCGGGACACTGTACGCGAGTGCATCCGAGACCATGTCCCAAACAGTGATCGCATCAGCAACCACTACCAGATGTTGTCCAACAAATCCCAGGCCAGAAAGAGCTGTGACATCGATCTCTGTAAGTGATCGTCGAATGATTGCGGAGTGAGTGTCGATCAGATGCGTGACACCGGCATCTTCATCCAAATCCCAAGACATTGAGACAGCAAGGACAGAGCCATCCGATGAGAAGGCTAGTCGGGATGTGCGCGGTGGTAAAGATTGTTGTGAACCTTCGGTAATGTCGAGCTTGTCGTTGATCTCAACTGCCTGGTCGAGTGACCAGGTGACCAGACCTTCCTGCTGAGCCCCACGAACGATGACTCCGTCGCGTGATCGCGTCTTGGGCCTCCATATCCGTACGACGTGGTCTTCACCAACAGTTGCGAACCCCGCAGCAGCCGGATCGGCGACAAGATGGAACACTCGTCCGTTGCCGCATACATCCTCAAAGAAGTGTGGTGCGTCGATGCGAGTTTCCAGCTTCCATTGCGCACTGGTTTTGTCGCGTCGCCAAATCTTGAGGTAGACCTCACGCCGATTTAGACGTTCTTGCTCGTTGAATTCTGGGATGCCTTCATTCAGATAGTGAGCATCTGATCGTGGCGGAACCCACTGCAAAGGGGGAAGTAAAAGTCAGTGTGCGTTTCAAATGCGTCTTGTGCAGTCAGAACTTACCTCATCGATTGTGGCAAGCCATTCTCCATCGTGGCTGACTTGAATGTGCATGACAGTAGGTTCTTTGATCTGACCTCCGTCTGGCGCGACATTGGGTTCAGTCGCGTTGTTGCGAGTGAGCGCCTGGCGCCCCTTGGCACGCTCGTTTGCAATATCATAAGTCTGCAAATACGGCTCAGGCTTAAGACCTTCCTTCCCGCGAGGTTGTGATGAAGGTACGGAAAAGAAGACTTCGGTTGGGTTGGCAGGGTTTACAGCCATGGGAACCGCATCAAAGAGGCCATGGTACTTGCCAGACTTGGTGTCTTTAGGCTGTTGTTCGAAGTCGATTCGACGTGATTGGATGCCGATGATGTTCGTGCGGGCCTCGAGCTCGGTGGTAGAAAGAACGATGACGGAGTTATTGGCCAGTGTCAATGCGTACGCTGAACCAGTAGGAGATACTACAACATTCTCAATAGCTGCAGAAAGATGAGGTAGATGTTGGGGTTGTCCAGTGGCAAGCTGCCATATTGTGAGGACCGTCTCGTCACCACCTGAGATAATGTAGTTGCCGTCCAAAGACCACTTGACAGATCCTACCGCGTCCCTGTGCCAATGGAGTCTCTTGGGCCTGAAGCTCGCGGCGTTGTCCGTCCCTTCCTTGTTGCTCTTCTCAATCGCAGCAAATGAGGCCAGGATATCTTCAAAGAGAAGAATTACACCGGTCTCTTCACCAACAGCAATGTCTAATACATCTCTTTGGTTGCCACTGTCTTGTTGCTCGCGGTGGTAGACGCTGAAAGTGGTGATCTGCTTCGAGAACTTGAACTCGCGCCAAACATACTCAAAGTCCTCAAGAGCCGTCTTGCTGGCCTTTGCGCGCTTTCCGACGACGATAGAGTCGGTTGTAGCAGCTACAACATACTTGCCTTGTAAAAGCACCTGGAGACCACGGACCGCAGAGCTTGCACTCAGCACTTGCTTCACTTCCTTCAATTCGGTCCTGGTATCTTGGCGCCTGGTACGGAGAACGCGGACACTGATGGTATGACGGCCCTCATCAGCTTCATGGCAGTATACAAGGTCATCCTCGGCCTTGGCCTTGGAATCAGACCCAGGTGGCGCAATGACCGTCATGTGCTGGACTGTAGCACCAATGTTCCAACGGCCAGTCATCTTGCCAGCCACCCAGTTCCACAGTATTATATGCCCATTCGAGTACGCGGCGTACACAAGGTGAGGGTTCGTGGGTGATAGGGCATACGTTGTGAGGTTTCCTGTGTCGTCCTGGGAGAGCGTGTTGGCAAGCAACGAGGTTTCGGTGGCATATACGCGTAGCGAATTGGAGTCGGCTATTATCAGATACTTTTCGTCGGAAGAGAAGACAGGATCGGCTGGTATGAACCATCCTCCTTGAACTCGTGAAGATATCCATCTCTCTGTCTTCTTGTTCTTTCTCTTCTTTACCATGGCTTCTGTCACGGTGCCTGTCACTTCGGCCTCCATGATTTCCTCGCGCTCTTGTCTGTTCTTTTCCTTTCGCTCCTTCTTGTCCTTCTTTTTCAGCGCAGCCTTGGATAGCCCTGACTTGGTGAGCTTGCCATTGACTTCAGCCGGCTTCGTTGGGGTGTCGGTCGTCGCATCTTGGATCGCGCCGTTCGTTGTCGGGGTCGCAGTCGATTGCTTCTTTGGCGTAGGCGTATTCTTAGATTTGGGTGCTGCATTGGTCGCGCCGTTTACAGGTTCGCCGTTGCGACCGTCATTTTGCGCGGCGGCATCGCTCTTCCTCTGCTTCTTGGCCTTCTTCTGCGCCGCTGCTTCCTCGGCCTTCCTCTTCAATTGTGGAGTCGCATCCGCCATACTGGCTGATTCTCGGCGATGTTGGCGTGAGAAGTCACGAATGTGGGCGACTGTCGTAAAGTGTCTGGAGTTGACATGTCGAAGGCTTCGAACTTTTTTGATGGACCTTGGCCCAAGCTTTTCACCGCCCGCGTCGTTAGCGCGCCCGCAACTTTCTTTGAGATGGCGTCCACCACGTCCAACACCACGAGAACCTCACCTTGACTTTACGCGCTCTCTTAGCTACTGCATTGTCGTCGCATAATCTTTCACATAGCACCAACACTCCGGAAGCCCCAAGATGATTGTTCCTATCCGTTGCTTTTCTTGCGGAAAGGTAATAGGCATACTCTCCAGCTCATGCGCGCACCCACTCACAATGCTCAGGTTACCGGCGACCTATGGGAGAAGTACATGACCATCCTTAGCGAAGGCAAGGAAGAAGCGTAAGAAGCCTCTTTGCAAACATCTTTGCGCGCGTGCCTACCCTCTAGCCAAACCCGATCACCTTTTGCTACTCCCAGTCTTACACAGCAGCAAGACCCTCACTAATATGTATTTGATCTAGTGAGGCCCTCGACGAGATCGGTCTTCAACGCTACTGCTGCCGCCGCATGATTCTCACCCACGTCGATTTGATCGAAAAGCTCCTCAAGTACGTGCCCGCTGCCGATGCCGACAAGGTGTTGCGTCGCCAGAAGAAAGAGGAGGAGAGGCGATTGCGGTGATTACGTCCCGGACAGGGGCTAACACTCATCACAGGTACAACGCCAGCGAACGAGAACAAGCCCGCGCCGCTCGCGGCGGACGATAGTCAAAAGACGACACGAACAAACAATCTGGAGTTTGGGAACGGCATACTTTATCATGGCAAGGCGTTATTCCGGCGAAAGCATATTGGTTTGCACTAGATCTCATTTCACCCACAATCTGGAGGTTTGTGAGATCAGGCAGTGTTTGAGTATAATAAGAGCCGCAGGCCCGTATTGGAATTTGGTCGATGCGTAGGCATATGTACAAAACGCGCAATCTGAACATCTACCACTCGGACCGATAACAGAGCCTCACTTCTGATCATTCCTCACATTTCTTGCCTTCACTGCCCCAGTGCTCCTCCACCCACTCGGTCATAATGTCTGTAAAGCTCTTCTCGTTATCAAACGCCTCAGTATCCTCCAGCCCTCTTCTTGCCCCCAGGTACTCAAGCGCCAGCAATATCCATTTCTCAATGAACTGATTATACATGAGATCAACAGTCTCTGGATCCACTTCTGTCTCTGATTGGTCGAAGCCGACAGCTGACTGAATGCAGTTCGGAACATTGTAGAAGGCGATGGGCTCGTGGATGGTGTCATCGCCGTCTGCTCCAGCGTCGTCCTTGGTGGTGTAACCTGGGAACGGTTGTGGCCCATCGATGCCGTGGAGAGGTGCCTGGCCTTCGGGGAGTTTAGCGAAGGCAAAGTCGGAAGATGTAAGCATATGCGGTCGAGACCGCGCTGCCAAAACCTCTGGTGGCTGCAGGAATGCATTGCTCTCCATCATGGCCAACATAATGGGTCCCTCATTGTTCAGCAATTTGAGCACCTGACTAGCGGCCTTGTAAGGTACATCCTTGATAAATCGGATCCCACTGGTGAACGGCGAAACAAGGAACTTTGTGTCTTTGGTGAAAGCTCCCTTGAAGATGTCAAAGCGGATAGCGCCAGTGTTGGTAATCACAAATGCCTTCTTTCCACTCTGGATGCGATCAGACTTTTCGATGGTCTGCGGCAGCAGCTGCTCCTCGATCCAGGTAAAGATACTCTCGTTGTGTGGATATGGGCGACGGCTGATCCATAGATCCTGTGGTGCACAGCCGTATACCTTACCCAGCCCAAGAGACGCTCTGGCATCACCAATCGCCTTGGAAACCTTCTTACCATGATCGGTCACGAACTCTTTGGCATTCTTTCCGCTATGGTGACGCAGCGAATAAAGATTGTTATCAATGTATCGACGAGAGAATGTGAGCTTTGCGCTCTGGGCTAGAGGCGTTGCGTCTTTGGTACCGCCAGTACTGAGACCATCAATAGACATGAAGCCGAGCGTCTCCATGTATCGCCCACTTTCAAGAGCGACAGCTTTGCTATCAAAGATCTTGTAGTCGCGGATATGGCTATGACCTCCGAAGAACTGGATGGGCGTATCCCAGTGCAGCGACCGTATAGTAGAGAACAAAAGCGCATATTCTTCGGAGCGGATGTCAACATGTCCAAAGACGATGATCAAGTCGATGTCCTGGCTTTTGAGCGCTTCCTGGAACCACTCCTCGTGCACCGTGTCTTCGACCCTCTGAACAACAGTATTGTTTGCGTTGCCTGTAAAATCGAACAGAAATCCGAAGGCCAAGATGCGTATACCTTGGTTTTTAGTAGTGAACTTCTTGAAGCGCGGCGCAAGTGGCTCCAGCTTTCCAGTCTTCGGGTTATAGATATCTAGGTTGGAGGCCAAGTAGTTTCCTTTGAAGTCAGGAACCGTGTGAAAGTACTCGCCCTCGGCAGTGTTTGCTTTGTACAGCTCATGGTTGCCTGAGCATATCAGATCGATGTTTTGTTCTTTCGCAATCTCGTAGGTAAACCTAAAGGTTGGCGTGGGACGTTAGTACCTATCTCACATGCATTTCGAAAACAGTACTAACTTTCCGCGAGGCTTTGAAGAGTCGTAGATGGCGTTTCCTTCTGCAAGGGGAAAACATGAAGTTAGTTTAGGTATTATATGCACCTTGTACACCCCAACTTACCAACACGGTCTCCGGTATCGATAAGCAGCAAGTCCGAGCCATCTGCATCTGCTTTCTCACGCATGTATTTCGCAAAAGAGACATAGTCGCCCCAATCAGAAGAAAAGGATGCCTCTTGGAGATGGCCTCCCCACCAACCATGCACATCGGTAGTATGCAGGAAGTTGAGCTGCGCCCATGGTAGGTCGCGCAGAGGAGCCGCTTTAGGATGCGGCGCTTCGGGTTGGACACAGGATACCGCTTTCAGAAGGGCAAAAAGAACAAGGGATTTGTGAAACATGGTGAAAGACACGGTGCTGTGCTATGCGTCCGCGTCGCAAACCGAGGTTGTCTCAAGCGACCATGTAGGTACCCGCGATGCTCGAACGTGGTCTGGTGACACCCTTGGAATTGACAAACGCTGAGATGCAACGCGTAGGAGCACAAGGTGAGGGCAGCGAAGTGGTTGCAGTGGTGACGGGACAGGTGATGTTAGATGTTGCGGTCAGTCAGTCGATGGCCAGCCAATCGGGCCCCACTCTGCGGCACCAAAAGGTAAGGCACGATGCATCCGCCGCCAGCGACCACACCAGAAAGCTGCAAAAAAGCGCAAAAAGATAATGTCAGCGGTGGGATTCGAACCCACGCAGGTTGCCCTATGAGAAACCTCTTGAGAGTGCGTCTTCCGAAGAAGACAAGCTTTCGCTTGAGTCACACGCCATAACCACTATCGGATGTTAGATGAGAAGATGTCAGGAGTTGAGAGAGATGCTTACCTCGGCCACGCTGACTGATTTGATGACAAATTTTGCGATTAATCAATATCTAATACAGAGATATCATCAAGCTCTCGCTGCATGCTGTGGGGTGTCTGACATCCTTTTGTGTTGAAGTCCGTAAGCTCAGCAATAATTTTCGTGTAGCATGAACCAGACCCATTCCTGACATCCCCACTGTGTAGATTACATAAGAACAACGTATAGGTGAGCGATACAGCTTCTCGGTCAGCCGCGGCTCACAAAACGGCCACGAGTGAAGGTCGCTGGCACCGAGGATCGACATAGTGACTTTCTGCAAATAGGAGGCGAAGCAGCATAAGCCTTGCAGTGGTGATGAGACAGGTGATACTAGATGTTGCGAGTGCGTGTCGGATGGTCAGTCAGTCGATGGTGGCCAGGCCAGCCAATCAAGCAGTGACGTACGCGGTGAATGGTTGACGGGCCGTGGCTGCAGCGAGCTGGTCCATGTCAAGTCTAGCGCCAGCCTTGCTAAATGCAGTTCAACATTTTTCTATGTACACGACAACACCAGCCACCTCACAACAACTTCCAACCCAAACACTGTTACGCGCATCAACCTTCGTTCGTGTCGCAAACTCTCGTTCGTGTCGCGCACAATGGCTAGAGCTTCCCGTTCTGCGAGCGCAAAGCCCGCTGAGAAGAAAGACGCCAAAGATGTCAAGGTGAACGGCACCGGTACGTCGCGTCCACCTACGGTAACCATGATATCGCTGACAAACCTCGCAGCCCCACGAAGAGGCGCAAAGAAGACCGAAGACGCGCCTGTCGCCAACGGCATAGCTGAGGAAGCCGAGGAAACTGAGGACGTCGAAATGGCCGACGAAGACACCAAAGAAGTCGAGGCAGCTCCGCCAAAGCGTAAGCTCAACGCGTCCGAAACGAGGCCAACCGCTAAGAAGACTGCAGCTGCTGGCCGCAGTCGCGCAAAGAAGACAGAGACTCCTGCATCTGAACCCGAGGCCGCGCCCAAGAAGACGACAAAGCGCAAGAAGGACGATGAAAGCGAACCGGAGGTCGAAGATGTGCCTGCGCCTGTCGTGAAGAAGCCCAAGGTAGAGCGCGCGAAAGCTGCCCCCAAGGCTGCCCCGAAAGCAGCAGCGAAAGCCGCCCCGAAAGCCGCGTCAAAGACCGCAACACCAGAGCCCGAAGCCGCGAAGGTCGATCCTGCTCTGATCCCGAACCCCAAGGGCCCGCGTCGTAACAAGGGCAAGAAGACCGAGATCAACGAGATCCGCTACACGGAACCTCTGAAGGTCTTTGTCTTTGGTGAAGGCTCTTCTGGCGAGCTCGGCTTCGGCGCTACAAGCAAGGCCATCGACGTGAAGCGGCCGCGCTACAACGAGCCTCTGTCCAACTTGAACGTCGTCAAGATTGCCACTGGCGGTATGCACGTCGTTGCACTCACAAAAGACAACAAAATCCTGACATGGGGTGTCAACGACAACAATGCCCTCGGACGCGACACGTCGAACGCACCCGTCAAGATGCGTGATCTGGACGCGGACGATTCCGACTCCGATTCTGAGGATGAGACCGGCGGCTTGAACGACGCTGAGGCGACACCAACGCCCGTGCCATCCGAGTTCTTCCCTGAAGACACCACCTTTGTTGACGTCGCTGCAGGCGATAGCTGCTCTTTCGCACTCACTACCGAGGGCGCGGTTTATGGATGGGGCACGTTCCGCAAGAACGAAGGCATCATGGGTTTTGAACGCGACAATCATACAGCGCCTCGACCCGTCTACATCGACAGCATAAAGAAGGTCATTCAGCTTGTGTGTGGTACCAACCACGTCTACGCTCTGGACAAGGACCACCACGTATATGCTTGGGGTAACGGCCAGCAAAACCAGCTTGGACGCCGTGTCACTGAGCGCAATCTCATCCAAGGTTTGCAGCCTAACAAGATTGGATTCCACGACTCCTCCATCAAGAAGCACAGCCAACGTATAACACACATTGCATCCGGCGACTACCACGGTCTCGCTATTGCAGAAGATGGGCACGTCTGGGGCTGGGGTGCGAACAACTACTGCGAGACTGGGTACACCAAGAATGCTGGTGCAGATGACGCCAGCGTTCTCCAACCCAAGATCATACACAGTTTGGAAGGTAAAGGCGTCCAGTCATTGGCAGCAGGCTCGCATCACAACTTGGCCATCACCAAGGATGGACAGGTGCTAGTCTGGGGTCGCTGCGACGGCTCACAGACTGGTCTCCCTCCGTCCCAGCTTGATGCAGAGACGGATGAGGACAAGGTTCTCAAGAACAACGGCAAGGCCAAGATCGTTGTGCAGCCGACACCGCTTCCCGGCCTCAAGAACATTGTCGCCGGTGCATGCGGTCCTGATCACTCTATCGTCGTTGACAAGGACGGCAAGGCTTATTCATGGGGTTTCTCAGTCAACTTCCAAACGGGTCAGGGTACCGACGACGACATCGAGGTGCCTACCTTGATCGACAACACCGCTGTACGGGAGACGAAGCTTACATGGGCTGGTTGCGGTGGTCAATACAGTATCCTGGCAAGCAAGAAGGAGTAGGCTGTCCAGCCTCCATCTCAGCTAGATGCTGGGAACACTGATGGTGGCAGCTCTTCATCAGGATGCTTCTCTCCATTTTTTTCACATTTAGTCGTTGTGTTTCACCTTTGAGACATTCAGACAAGCATTCATGGCGTTCTAGTCTTTCACGGTCGGTTTGGGATAGCGAATATTTGATTCTGCACACGGGGTTATCCAACGTATTCATTGCGCGGCTGAGGGTTAGGCCTTGAAAAATGACATGGCTATTGTAGAAGGCGTAGATTGGGAGGGAGGCTCAGCCGCGCTTGTGAATAACTTGTAATAGTACGATGTCATGCTATCTTTAAAGACGATTTTGTGTACATATATGCGGTGATGTCTCATGTCTCAAGCCCCTTTCGCAGACATGCTGTGCCACGAAATGAAAGACGTGGGCGATTGAAGGCCGACGATGGACTCGTGAAAGACTAACCCTTACATAAGCAACCGATGACGCTCGACCCTACTTGGCCAAAAAACATCATCACCAAGGTCCAAAGCGCATCGATAACAACCCCGCAACAGCCCACTTCCACGATCGCAAGCTTCTTCGTACGCCCTACGCATATTCATATCTGAAGTATCCGAGACTGACGGATTGCGCAGTGTTTCACCCACCGCCGCAACGATGCCACCCAAGCAGATGACAGGCAAGGGCCGTACCCTCAACGAGCCCAGCTTCGCGTCCAGCACCATCTCAGCATTTACAAGCAAGGACAACAGGAGTATCGTTACTGCCGCGGGAATGTTCGCTGTAAGCCACCCTGGATTGTCGAAAATATCAGACGAAGGATAAAGGATGAGATACCAGAAGGAAAACTGAGGCAAGGGCAAATGCTAATGACCACGTATAGATTGGTGTAGCATTCTTGCACAGCAGCTGGGCCGAGATCCTTCTTCCCGCGTAAACCCGAATCGATCCCATACAAGGAGACAATGCGCCCGCCCCAGCGAACGAGTTAGGTTGAAATGCCAGTAGCCATCGTAGGGCAACGAACGATCCTCGACGCCATGTACAAAGAAGCAAACTCCGGTTTGAGCAAGAGCATTGAAAAGGAAGGCGTTCAGGCATGAAAGCACACATACCGGTAGTGTGAAACCAATATCTCCAAAGTATTCTCTAAAAACGGTCTTATAACGATCTTGTAACATTATGTATAACAATGACGAGAACACGCCCACATACTCTGTCCTTTCCCTTTGTCATTGCAGTGCTTTCAATTAGACTTTTGGCAGTTCGTCTCACGACCTCATATCTTGCGCGATCAGTCATCGCAGTACGTCACTGCTCTCTCTCTCCACACAAAGATCCGAAACACCATGCGCGTCACCCGCATCGACGCGTATGAAGGTTCTGTAACCCACACAACTGGAACATACCAAGCACTGTCTTGCTGTCACAGAAATGCTTAGCAGAATAGACTTTTCGGATTGAATCGCATCGTTTTCGTCTTTTCTTCTTTTTTCCTTTTCGCGTCTTCCGAGGCACAGTCTCAGCTTGGCTCGAGTTTCACGTCGCCTTGTTGAGCTTTTCCTCCGCTTCAATTACGAGTACTAACCGCATTGGCGAATATACGCGCGTTGGCGGTTGAGTGCGAAGGAACGATACGTGAGTGCTGTGACGCACTTTCTTTTGCACGATGGCGAGAGATCGGAGACGCGGATTTGGATTTGCCGTCCGGAATCCCCAGGAGTCTGTCACGAGATGTTTCGGGCGCGTAATTGGACGTATCGGAAGCGCACGCGTGTCGTACACACATGCGTCGTGAGGAACAAGTTGGTGGTCGGTATCGTTTGGCTATCGTGGAGTGTGCCTTGGCGCTCATGAGCTGTCTGCTGTCGCTGCACGCGCCAGTCAATTCGCCGGGCCAGGCTCTGAGTTTATTGGCAAGTTGCAGTAAAGATGGTGATTCGTACTCGGTAGATTACTTTCATACGGCACGGTGGCGTCAAGAACTAGCTAGTCTGCGGCGCAGGGAAAGTAACTTGAATGGTAGTCTAAAAACCTGGTTGTTGGTACTTCCACGCGCTGGTGGCGCATGCAGAGGGCCTTACTGCGTGGTAGCTGTCTACTGCAGGTACTCCGCGTGCCAATGCATGTATTTGCACAACATCACATTGCGGCGGAAACGATTGTTGGTGGTAGTTCTTCATTCGTGAGGTTCGATTACGCCTTTCATACATGCAAAGCCGACTCTAATAGCGGATCAACAGTCCGGCTGTGAAAAAAGAGTGTACAGGTGTTTATGCATGCCAGCAAAAACCAGCAATTATGCTCGCTACAAATACAGCAAGATCGAGCGCTATCAAAGCAAGGACACCGAAGCAATCAATATGCGTTCGCGAGGATGAAAGAAAATGTAATGTGGATCGTAAACATGCGTGATGCTGGGGTATCTCTAGTCTATACTTCTCTAACCCAAACCTGATGATAAAGTTAGTACGTAGTCTTCAAGCTGAGTGTACACCGAAAACTTACCTCCATCTTGGCCATATCGCTGCCTTCCTTCCTCGCAACGCTCTTAGCCGTCTGGATGGCCATGTCAAGATCGTCCTGGTCAGCCATGGTGATCATGTCGCCATCGTCTTTGAACTCCACCTTGAACTTGTTCCGCACACCGAACTTCTCCCGAATTTGCTGCCAGAATTCAGTGATTAACTGATCTGAACTGATGAAGACGTAACGTGTGTCGCTAGAGTGAACCTTCACTCTGACTTTGCTGCCTGTACCGCGGTTGCTACCACCAGATCTGGCGGAGCGGGCGGGCGATCGTCTTCTGGATTTCGTGCGAGACATCATCTCGAATTCCGCGTCATCGAGATCACTACCATCATAGTCGTCTTCGTCTTCTTCTTCGATGTAAGCTGGTCGCCTGCTCTGTTTTGAGCGAGCGTATGCCCCGCGACTCCCACGAGAAGGCGGGTAGGGGTCATTGTCGTAATAGTCGTCAATGATATCATCGTCAGACCCACGGCGACGTGGCTTGTAGTCACGATCTCGCTGGTCTCGCTGGTCCCGCTGATCGCGTTGCCCTCGGTCTCGCATTGACTCTGAACGACTTGGTGGTGGTCGTTCAGACGCGGAGCGCTGTGTTGGCTGGCGACGAGGCGGCTCGTTGTTGCTTTGCTGATCAAAGGCAGCTCGTCCAAGGTTTAGAGGCTGAGGCTTAGGGCCACCGCCTCGTACGGACTGTGCGCGGCTCATGGGAGCATCGGCGGCGGGTCTCCGCTCTCCACCAGACCTCCTGTCACCAGACCTCCTGTCTGTCTCCGGTGGCGGTGTAGGCGGGAACATGTTACGGTTCATCGGTGGTTCTGACTGCTGACGCGCTCTGCTCTGGAGTTCTGGCTTGACAAGGTTGGTCGCCGCATACGAGATCTTATCCTCAGTTCTGTCATCTTTCGCGGCCTGGCCTCCCTTCTTGATTTCGGCGCCAGCGAAGCCAGTAAAGGCATTGGCCCGGTCTGAGGCAGCGACAAGACGGGCCTTTCCAAGATAGTCCTTCGTCTTCAAGTTCTTGACCTTGGCTTCGTTGGGACGGTAGACAATGCCGACGGGAATAGAGAAGACGGTATAGCCTTCAGCTTCCTCCCGAATAGCCTCGTCGATCACATCATGGTCGGGTACCACTTTCTCCTTGGCTGCGAAAGACAGATCCTGTAGACCGGCGTCTCTTTGCTGGAGATAGATGTAGCAAAGACCGCGGTTGAATAGCACCTCGCAGGAGTATAGCTTGAACTTGAGGCCCAGTTGTTCGTAATCGATGTTGTTGTTTCCGCGTAGGTAGAGTAGTGTGTCGTTGAAGTTGGCGAGGGCTTCCTCGAAGTCGCCCATGAGGAAGTTTGACACACCTTGTTGGAAGTATGCCACGGCGAGGTACTGGTCCAGACGCACAGCGCGCTGGTAGCAGTCGACCTGTGTAGCCATCAGCACGTGCTCCTACTACTGGAGCCATTGCCCTCAACTTACCGCCTTCTCATGCTCGCCGAGTGTGGCATGGATCACGCCGCAGTTGAACAGAATCTTGGACGTGTCGGAGATTTGGTCAAAGACCTTCAATGCAACGTCGAACTCATTGTTGTCGTAGCTGGCGAGGGCTGCCACCCAGGTTTCGATTTCCTACCCCACCTATCAGCAATTGAACTCGGAAGGAGCGACGGCGCGCGGGAGGAAGGAGCGCACCTGCTTCAGAGACATGACGAGTGATCTTCACTTGTTACCCGGCAGTATGGTGTCGTCAAGCCTCAAGGTAGTGCCTCTCCTAGCACTCCACCGTTGGACGAGGGGTCGTGTTCCTTCTCAAGCGCAAACCTGCGGATGTGCTCGTCTCAATTCCACCAGATTACGGAGTAGCCGCCGGGGCCTGTGTGTATGCGCGACGTGGTGAATTAGTGTCCGGTAGGTGGTGTAGTGTCGCTATTAAGTCGTCGAGGTACACCTAGATGCGGTGGGTTGCGCGGGGGAGTTAACGATCGTACAGGTGTGGGAATTAAGGCACAGTTGGGAAACCGGGAGAGAGAGGAGGAGGTTTCGAGGGCAATGCTCGGAAGAGACAGGGACACGGTGGGAATTTGGCGGGCGGCTGCAGGAGGGCTACCGGTGGGGAGACCAATTCTGAGGTCCAGCGCGTTTGAGAGACAAGCCTTGGCCGACACGGTACCCGGCACCGTGATTGGATCCCTGCACTGTGAGGCCCGAGAGCCACAGCGCTACGCGCCTGTCCAAGACGCCCCAACCCGGCCGACTCGAGCATGACACCACCGCCCTGCGATGCTCCGAGAGCCTAACGATTCTCCCAAGCGCCCCCGCAGACCTCATAGTTTCGCTTCGTGAGGCTCACTGTCAGCAACCCACAGCGGCGTACACCGGACTGCTGGCCCCTTGCGATCATCGAGTGATGGCGTTTGAGGTCTGTAACGTGCAAATCCTCCGACTGAGACAGCCACGTGATGCTTCCTCTTCGCAGCCACTCATCCTGTCGCCTGGCGTTTTCAGGCATGAACGCATGACGATTCCAGGCCTCAAAAAGTCCGTGTTCGCGCAGTCTTAGTTTCGGCCTAGATTTCAAGGTGCAAGCCTTATCTCTCGTCACCAAACCAACACGGCATTTCGACGGCACTTTGTTACTTGGTCTATCTTGGTGTCTTTTGAACTCATAGCATACCGCGATCGCGCTGTTCTTCTCTCTCCTGCCAGACCGTCTTGCCAGAACATGAACAGACCGTCTTGTCGTCTGGATAACCGTTAGCACATACGCACGCGAAGAGTACCCTCCGCCAGATGCAGAACGCGTGGGGTACCAAGAGCACTCACTGTCCCATACACCAGCGCTACGTGCGATGACACCCACTAGCGTGTCCGGATCGTTCTTATCAAACTGTGCAAGGTCAGAGTAGATCTCAGATCAATTAGCGGTTTCGCATACCTTGCCGTCTTGCTCTCGCGCAACCACGATGCTACGTCCGATCATCTCCCAGATGTGGATGGGCTTGTCCAGGAACACAGATCCGACTCCACCCTTTCCGACCTGAACAGTTCCAAAGATGCCCCGGCACGGCTTGTCTTCCTGTTTGGCCTTGAGATACTCCCAGATGGCGCCGGTAGATTCTGGTCCGTCGGATATATCTCCAGATTCGCGAACAGTAGCCTGGTACGTTCCAGGTGACAATCCCCTTATGCTCAGATCGATGATAGTCATACTCGGAGCTACCTCAACCATGCGCACTAATCCTCGAACTTTGTTCTCTACATCAGGTGCATGCGATTCTAAGATGCATACTGCGGCGCCTGTTCGGACGTTAGAATCGACGCACATGCCGACTCTCCAAGATGAAGCATACTGTCTGATCTTCCAGATCCTCTTAGAATTGCATCACGGCCAGTTGCTTGGATAGCTTCAACAATGGCCGATGGCGCTGCTGTGCCCTCGACAGATACCAATTGATCTTTGAGGTTGGCAGTGATCTTGTTGACACCTACGTGCTATTAGAAGCCGGATGACGTGCGTCGGGATAACTCGTACCACTCAATTGCTGGAGAGAACCTTCAATGTCGTTGATGCACGACTGGCAGGTCATAGGCACCGCGAAGATGGTTTCAAACGACGGGACAGTCATGTTGGACGTTGCAAAATCAAATGTGATGTTGTTTGAGACTCGTGCTATTGGTAGAAAGGTCAAGTTGTGAGCATGCGACTTCTTCGGACGCTTTGAAATCCAGGCCCGAGGTGTGGCGCAGGGCGGGCAGATCTTAGAAATGCTATTCCAGGCTTGGCATCAGCCTCCGTTGCACGCAGACGAGCCAACCAACAGCGCTCATAGCTTCGCCAGTATCTCTTGTCGGACAACCCCAGACTTCAGGTCAATTTCGACGCCCGATTAGAGTTGGCCTACTAGGCCATTGAATTCACAGCCCGCCATGTCGCAAGTCGTAGGAAAGGTGTGTATTCTGTCGGACCTCCGCATCTCAGAATTCCATGATCGCAGCCGAAGTTACCATCGCGAGACGTGCTATTCCTAAGGCTAATATGTTATATAGACGCGCCTGGCCTATGCCCGCTCATGGCACCATCTCGACATCGGCTCAGACCCACGCGCGCTCGGCCGCGTCGCCTCCGCTATAGCCCTGACGCTCATGGGAAAACACAAGCCCATCTTCGACCCCTCGACTGATTGCGGCGACTACGTTGTAGCTACAAACTGCGCACAACTGCACACCACGGGCAAGAAGCGCTTCCAGAAACTCTACCGCACACACACGACTCGCCCGGGCTCTCTCAAAGAACTCTCCATGGACAGGATGATGGCCAAATGGGGAGGAGGAGAGGTTTTGAGGAAGGCGGTCAGCGGCATGTTGCCCAAGAACAGGTTACGGAAGGATAGGCTGGCGAGGTTGAAGACATTCGAGGGGAGAGCGCACCCTTACAAGGAGAATATCCTAAAGGTGGGAAACGGCGGCGGACAGAGTATAGTGGAGCACGATGAGGTCAAGAAGGCGTTTGCAGAGGTCAAGGCACAGAATGCGGAGGCACCAGTATCATGACGAGGGGTGGTCAAATGGGGCAAGAGAAGATATACCATAGCATCCGGGTGCGTGTATAAGACATGTAAATCTACATAATTGTACTTGAGCCAAGTTTCATATTCTACTGCCACATAGACTTGGTTGATCGGTTTGACGTCGGTTCGACAATCTCAGGCGATCTCTGGTTTGTCACATCATCTGCCGCGAAAGTGAATAAAACGGTTGCATTCGCTTTACGCGCAAGCTGATGTACTACTCCCACTCGTCCCCATCAAACAAAAAGAAATGGTGGTATAATGTTCTACTCTCCTTTGACAATCTTCTCCAAAATCTCGCTCGAGAACCCAAAGAAATGTACAGAAAACCAATGTGCGACGGCATAATGCTGTTGCATCTACAACTTCGACTTGGTACCCTTGCGAGTGACAGTGCAGAAAATGAGACCATTAGGGTCAGATTGAGGAGCAAAGACAGTGGCGTCTTTGCCCGTGTTCTTGATGCCCTTGTGCCACGAGAGATCTAGTGCCATGTTAGCGAATGAATGCAAGAAGTGATAGTCAATCCCACGTACCAACTTCAAAGTAGTGCTTGTTGGGCAGCGCATAGTCCACAGCGTCCACCTGAGGAACGGCGGCCAAGATTAGGTCGCACATCTTGTACATGGTTGCCTGCACACTGGCGCTATCGTCCTCGGCGAAGACCTTCATAGTGATATCCCTTGCCGCGGTCCAGGCACTGTTGAAGTCTACGGCCTTGGCCTCATCCAAGTTCTTGAACAGCTTCCATTGCCAGCCAGCTTCAACCTCTGTACTCAAGATGCGGTCCCATGTTTCGGGCAGACGCGTGTATTCGTCACGGTGGAAGCCATGGAATGCTGACCCTGTGCTCTTCAGTACAAGGAGCTTCTCAATCTTGGAGCGAATAGAGACACCCTCGTTCTCGCGTGTCACGGATTCGACCACACGAGTCTCTTCACCGTCGCGGAAGAACGAGTGTGGGTGTGCTTTTCCGTCGATAGTCATGCGCGTCCATCGGTGCTGGATAATCTTGACATGCGCGGCGTGAATGTGAGGGTAGGTCTTGACAAAGTGGTCGCCGATGATGGCAGCGAATTGCTCGGGCGGGTCGATAGGGTTTTGTTTTGCGAGTATGTAGGTTGTTTGCTTTTGCGTGTCGGTCGCGACTATGACAGAGTTGTCTGCTTTGGTGTAGCTGGAGGTTGTTAATTCAGGGTATGCTAGAGTCTTGATGGAGAAGCGTACGAAGTCTCAATATCTCCCTCAAGTAGGACACAGACTGTTTGCTCAACGACGGTGTGGAAACCGGTGTTGGGGTCCTTGTCGACCTTGTAGAGACGGACATTGTCCTTGCCGTAGCGGGCGTAACTAAGCTGAGACATTGCGAGCGAAGCTGTGCAGATTAGGATAATAGCCTGAAATGCTTCAGATAAGGGCGCGAGGTGTATGTAATTAGGCGAGGGTCAGTTGGAAGCTCGAGGTGAGTGGATAGAGTGATCAAGAAGGGCGATCAAGCTAGATATACTTATGAAACGGCACCTTATCTGGTGGACGGCACACGGAGGATACCGAACTGTACAGGAGCGGTTTGCGATTGAGGCACGAGCAAGCTATGGAGCGTCGGCAAAGAGGCGGCCAGAACGCGTTTCCATTCGTTGAGATGGCCATCGGCGAGCTCCGGTCGAGGGAAGAGGCCCTGGATAGCGGCGCACGGCGCGCACGTGACGACGTCAGAAACGCTCCTCGCCCGGAAACGCACCAGGCGCCGTGGGACTATGGGGCTTGAATTGTCGGCACATGGAATTCTGCGGCATGTCAGGCCATGATGGTGAGGTGTAGGGCGGTGGATCTGATAGACGCGAGCTCAGCGCTGCAAGGGTAGGTAGGGAAATGTGCACGTCCCCACGTCCAGCGGCTGCTGCCCGCAACACGTCGAGATGGCTATGCTGCGCGCCATGCACCATTCACTCACACTGTCATTACACCAGCTCCACATTCCCTAGCCTCTGCCCCAGCCGCTCCTTCCCCGAGCCTCCGCCACATTTCCGCTTTTGGCTAGGAACCGCAACGACAACGACTTCTGGGCCCGCGAATGCTCATGAGGCAAGAGGAGGGCACCGCCGAAAGACAGATATGCGATGCGGTTGGCGGGAACACGGTTAAGGCGCGCTCATGACGCCATCAGCTCGCTCCGTAAACACACAGGCCGATGCCGCCGACCAGACGTCTCTCCTTGCACCCACGACGAGTAGAGATGGGCGCTCAGCGTCGTCGGTCGGCATGGCCAGCTCGCGGGGAGGCCAGGCCTCGTATGCCTCGTATGCAACTGCCAACACAGGCCCTGGCAGCTTCAACACCGCTTTGGTACGGCCCTCGACGGCGCAAGACGGTCGAATACGCCCCGATTTCGACATGCACGCAATCACCGTGGGGGACAATGACAATACAACCACCGAGCAGAGGCAGGCAGAGCTGCAGGATCAGATTGAGAAGGAAACAAAAATCAAGATCGGCTCGGAGAACCTGCTGGAGGCATTGAACGCTAAGAACGCAAAAGATAGCAAGAACCAGAGGCTACAGGTCGAGGAACAGCTCAATATATCCAACAGGAAATTGGCGCAGTTGCAGTCGGGACTGGCTGCGGAGAAACAGAGAGCAAAGGAAGTCAAGTCACCACCAGCGGACCCACAAAGCAGACTTTCATATCTCTTCAGACGGAATCTCTCACGTTCGCCGTCGCGGCATATCGTTGAGAAAGAAGTGGGAGAGGAAGAGGAAACTGAATCGCCGACCTTCGTTCTGGCGGAGATATTGCAGGCCCTGGAGGTTCAGGGCTTGCAACCGGAATACTATGTAGAGAGAGCCAACTCTCTGGTCCTTCTCTTCAAGCGACACCCTACGCTGAAGTACGACCTAGCCTGGTCCATTTTCGGACTACGAATGCAAACCATGCTCCTGAGCGACAGCCGCGAAGTTGTCGCAGCAGCATATCGAGTCATGCGCTATTCCTTCACTGATCGCAAATCTCTCCGGATCATACGAGCTCTTCATACAGACCATCTTGTCATCCTGTCATTAGTAAAAGAGTCCAAAGCCAGTGTGGAACGTGAACAAGCACTGAAGTTTGTCCGAGCCTTCCTCGACGTCAAGGGAGGTGTTGAGGAAATCGCCCGCGCCGTAGTTCGTATCATCGTCGCAGTGGCCGAGCATGCAGAAGACCGATTGAGGAATATTGCGACCCTGACTTTGGCCGAGATTCTTGTCCGGAAGCCATCTCTTCTGGTTGCAGCCGGAGGTATGGGCGCTTTGGCTGATGCTCTTGGAGAAGGAAGCTATCACGCAGCCGAAAGTGTTGGCACTTCGTTCCTCTATCTACTGGATACTCCCAGACGACGCCGCTTTTTGCGCTCGGGACGCGAGCTGGAAGCTCCCTTCGCCATGTTCACAGACGCAAACACCACTCATGGACATTTGCATGAAGAGAAACTGAAGGTCAATGCCAAGGTCATAGCATCCTTACTCCGAAGTTGGCCTGGACTACTTACCCTTTCCATGAACAATTTCCTGCCCCTTCGATCCTTACTTTGGTCCTTGCAGATTCCTACTCCTCATGTTCGAAACATCATCTTGGAACTTTTATTCGATCTTCTCAGGATCAAGCCTCCTTCCTGGTCATCTTCTTTCCTTGCTGGTCGGCGTTTGACTACCTATGGCCGCGTCACGAATTTAAAGAACCAGCAGATCAAAGAGACTTCAACCTCCAGTAGCACCGAGGACGATACCACCAAGTGGAGCTTACTAGACCATTATGTCTCTGTAGTTCTGGCTGCATTTCTACATGCAGGTTTAATGCCAGCATTGCTACAGGCTGAAGAGGAGTCTCTGACATTGCCGTTGAAACGTAAGACAACCCTTCTAATTGGGGAAGTTTTGAAGATGGCCAATGAATTGCTACCTCCTTCGTGGAGCGCGCAGATCCAGGTGCTCCCACAACTTCTGCATTCAGCGGCGCGGTTCGACTCAGAAGACCGCTTTGTCGCTATCGGTACCATATATCAAGTGGACAGCATCAACAGGACTCTTTATCGATCCGGACCTACGTCTCTGTATACTACTAAGAGTACTGCGCTCTCCGATAGCACCTCGACAACCAGACAATCTGACCACGCGGCCAAGCTACAAGCCGCC